AAACAAAACCAATTAAGCACTACTCAAATTAAGCTTATGTTCGTTCAAGGCCGAGGTATACATGAAGATTTTTTTTTAAAACCGGCATTTGAATAGTGGATGGGATTCGATGTCAAACATGATGTGGGAGTGCATTCCACAGCGAGGGAGCTGAAAATGAGAATGCTCGCCCAGCGATAGGCGTGCGTTTGATTTGAGGTGCAGTGAGTGAGCAGCTTCAGGTTGGAAGAGAAGTGCCGTACTTGTGACTCGGTGTCGGCAGAAATGAGGGGGGAAAGTTAGGCAGGGGTGAGTGCATGCGAAACTTTGAAAAACAATAAGTGGCTCCAGAGTGGAGGTGAAGCCAATGAAGCGAATTTAACACGGGGGATAGTGTGGTTACGTTTACAGGCACGGCACGAGTAAGTACCCTGGCAGCGGAATTTTGAACGTGTTGAAATCCGCTGAGCGAGAGACTCGGGAAGACCGTACAAAAGTGACTGACGGTCGTCAAGTCTGGAGGTTACAAGGGCGTGAATGTTTCAGCAGCAGTTTGAGCAATGGAGTTTTGAATGCGAAGGTTCTTGCGGAGATCACAGAGAGCTATTTTGCAAAGAAAGAAAATATGGTGAGAAATGGACAGCTCATTATGTTTTATAATTATCAATGCATTATTTATCATATTTATATACGTATTTAAAAAATTACAGACCGAGTAGCCTCTTCTCACGCTTATATAAATTGTTCTCGAACATCATTGGGTTCATGGTTCAGCAATGGTGCCTCCACCATTGACCACACACATAGCCTACTTCAAGATTCTGAAATAATTCTAGATTTGAAGCTTTCGTGACTGCAAGGATCCATACTCTTTGGTTCTATTCGGTAAAGTCACGTAGGTAAAAAAAAATGTGATTTTTGTTGTTTTATTTTATTTTTTACCTACGTGACTTTACCGAATAGAACCAAAGAGTATTCTGAAATAAATTTAAAATCACATTATGCCTATAGCCTTCATATTTACGACGGACTATGCACACGGGGAAAATTGATGCAGCTATCCAAGCTCTCACAAACCGAGGCCTAAAATTAAAATATTCAGACGCAAAAAAAAAATCCATTTACAAAAAATGGGGACAGCTGCAATCACTGCCCTACGGGATTCATATCAATAATGAGTTCACTTGCCACATATGGGTTATTTTATTTTGTATATTTTTTGTTTGTGTACAATCCCTCGCATTTCCCTCCCCTTAAAACATTCCATGCTGCCGCCCGTAGTTCCTACGATAGTAGGGTAATGGGGCCCATCATTCTCCCTTTTCCCCTAAGCCTCGTGAGTAACCGCGCTTCGGGATTTTGTCCACGGAATTCCTGTGCCCCCTTCCCTTTGTACTGCTCGTGCTTTGTACCGGACTCTTGTCAAAGTAAACAAAATAAATCAATTGGGACAGCTGCACTGAGATTATGTGACGTAACAAAACACATACTTATTGGGGGGGGGGGGGGGGGAGGCAGAAAACTACGTGACACGCAAGACATTATTCACAGGAACATTATAAAGATGTTTCCCCCCCCCCTCCAAAATTGGGTTCGGAGAAATGAAGGCATGCGTATAATACGGCGGAACAACATTTCAATCTTCAGAATCTTAGTGATGGTGCAGTCTTCAGAAGCACACCACGAGCCATTATAAGGAGAAGCAAATCAAGGGTGGCTGTAAAGCTGAGCTGAAGTAAATAGGTTAAAAACTACAGCCGTGCGCAACTGCACAGCAAACGGGTCCACCTTTGTCAAATTCAAAATGCTCATAAAAACGACACTTGACGCTGATAGAAGTGAGGTTTTGCCCGGCTAATATATAATACAGTTCTGTGTTGGGTGTTTTTGTGAATGCACACTACGCCAATAATATCATGCACCTAAAAAGCATTGTGATGCCGACATCGAATTACTTTTCATACTCACGGCCCCCGCAAGAGCACCAGATGGAACTCCTCTGAAAGAAACTTCCCACGGCTTGGCCTTGCTATTCTACAGAGGATGCAAGCGACCGTAATCGACGTCTGCATTAAAAGGGAAGTGGCAATAACATCCTTTGTTTATAAAAAAAGGCCCTGTCGCTCAAGTGTGCTGAGGCTGAGAATAATGATTGAACCTCCTGTTTTTGAAGATGTCTCCCATTAAAACATCTTTGTTGGTTACCTCGATTTACAGTGTAAACAACAAACACAAGCTCGTTAATGGGCCACAAAAAGGAATGACACAGATTCACAGGCATGAACTAAGACAAGAGTTGTGTAAACAAAGTGCAGCGCTACGATTTGAAGTCACAATTAAAATGTGAGACGATATGACATTTATACACTGCGGAGCCCGCAGCCTCCAAAACCATTTTTTTATGTGAAGCCAAAAGAAAACCTCGCTAAATTTACGATAGTAATTAGCATTTAGATGAGTTTGGCCCCAAGCCAACCGGAGCATGTAGCAGCAAATGCAAAAAAAAATCAGACTGGTGCAGTGTAAGTGTTCTGTGTGTTGGTGCGTGTGTTTGCGTGTGTGTGCTTATGTACACAAGGAGTGGTAGCGTAGTGGTGAACGCACTGCGCTATGAACCCAGCAACCAAAGTTCGATTCCCACTCACAACCAACATGAAGATCTGAACCGGTCCTGGGCCTCCCCTAGGTAGCCTTAAATGAAAACCTGGTGCGGTGTATAAACGTTAGTACATTAGCACTGGGAAAACAAAGGCGGAGCGGCACGGTATTGGCTACACCATCCCCACGTATGCTGTGTTGGCCTTCATAGGTGCTCGCTGACAGCACTTGCCCCAAGAATCTGTTAAGGCATTACGGGGAATCTTTGTCTTTGTGTGTTTATGCTTGTGTGTAGAGAGGAGATAGTTTAACAGTTAATGCGCTGCGCTACGAACCCGGCGACCCGAGTTCGATTCCCGTTCACGGTCAACACCAGTGACGATAATGTTATCTGAACCAGTCCTGGGCCTCCCCTAGGTCGACTCAGCCTCAAATGAGTACCTGGTAAAGTGTAAATATCGCCAAAAGGGAGACAAAGGTGGCCGGGCGTGGTGCTGCCATGGTACTGCCCACCCACCCAATTGTGTACCATTCCGGCCTTCATAAGTGCTCACTAACAGCCCTTTCCCCAACAGTCTGTTAAGGCTATACAGGGTATCTTTGTCTTCGTTTATTCTTGTCTGAATGTGCTATGCTCGTGGATTGCCAGGCTTAATTCAATGCCGTGTAATATTCCAGGGGTAATTTACCTGTGAACCTGGCCTAGGCCTAATAAGCCTAAAATAATATTGGGAATACAGTTCGGGACTAGGGCACCCAGACTCACAGACAACAATAGACAGCGAGGGGGTAGGGCACCCAGACTCACAGACAACAATAGACAGCGCGGGGCTGGGCAGACAGATTCACAGACAACAATAGACAGCGAGGGGGTAGGGCACCCAGACTCACAGACAACAATAGATAGCGAGGGGGTAGGGCACCCAGACTCACACACAACAATAGATAGCGAGGGGGTAGGACACCCAGACTCACAGACAACAATAGACAGCGAGGGGGTAGGGCACCCAGACTCACAGACAACAATAGACAGCGAGGGGGTAGGGCACCCAGACTCACAGACAACAATAGACAGCGAGGGGGTAGGGCACCCAGACTCACAGACAACAATAGACAGCGAGGGGGTAGGGCACCCAGACTCACAGACAACAATAGACAGCGAGGGGGTAGGGCACCCAGACTCACAGACAACAATAGACAGCAAGGGGGTAGGGCACCCAGACTCACAGACAACAATAGACAGCGAGGGGGTAGGGCACCCAGACTCACAGACAACAATAGACAGCGAGGGGGTAGGGCACCCAGACTCACAGACAACAATAGATAGCGAGGGGGTAGGGCACCCAGACTCACAGACAACAATAGACAGTGAGGGGGTAGGGCACCCAGACTCACAGACAACAATAGATAGCGAGGGGGTAGGGCGCCCAGACTCACAGACAACAATAGATAGCGAGGGGGTAGGACACCCAGACTCACAGACAACAATAGACAGCGAGGGGGTAGGGCACCCAGACTCACAGACAACAATAGACAGCGAGGGGGTAGGGCACCCAGACTCACAGACAACAATAGACAGCGAGGGGGTAGGGCACCCAGACTCACAGACAACAATAGACAGCGAGGGGGTAGGGCACCCAGACTCACAGACAACAATAGACAGCACGGGGCTAGGACAGACAGACTCACAGACAACAATAGACAGCGAGGGGGTAGGGCACCCAGACTCACAGACAACAATAGACAGCGAGGGGGTAGGGCACCCAGACTCACAGACAACAATAGACAGCGAGAGGCTAGGACACCCAGACTCACAGACAACAATAGACAGCGAGGGGCTAGGGCACCCAGACTCACAGACAACAATAGACAGCGAGGGGCTAGGGCACCCAGACTCACAGACGACACTAGACAGCGTGGGCTAGGGCACCCAGACTTACAGACGACAATAGACAGTGAGAGGCGAGGACACCCAGACGACACTAGACAGCGAGGGGCTAGGACACCCAGACTCACAGACGACACTAGACAGCGAGGGGCTAGGGCACCCAGACTCACAGACGACAATAGACAGCGTGGGGCTAGGGCACCCAGACTTACAGACGACAATAGACAGCGAGGGGCTAGGACACCCAGACGCACAGACGACACTAGACAGCGAGAGGCTAGGACACCCAGACGACACTAGACAGCGAGAGGCTAGGACACCCAGATTCACAGACAACACTAGACAGCGAGAGGCTAGGACACCCAGACGACACTAGACAGCGAGAGGCTAGGACACCCAGACAACAATAGACAGCGAGAGGCTAGGACACCCAGACGACACTAGACAGCGAGAGGCTAGGACACCCAGACGACACTAGACAGCGAGGGGCTAGGGCACGGAGGCGGTGGTGAGGGTGGGTTGTGCGTCGCGGTACCGTTTCTGTGACAGGAGCGCCGTGTTCTGCAACAGCGCGTCACGGTAGCGGTAGACCCCGAAGCACAGCATCCCGTGCGTGCGCAGCGCGCGGCAAAAGAGCTCCCCGTAGCTGCCGCCCTCCTGCAACAACAGGCAGTTGGGGGGGACATTGGGGGGGGGGGTATCTGCGTATGAACACATAGGTCGGCTTGCAGGTAAGCATTCAGGTGAATGCGTCGGTGAGAGGATGAGCATGTGTGCAGGCACAGAATACAGCTGAGAATCCAGGCGAGCGCACAGCTGAGAACGCAGGTGGGTAAATGGTTAGGTAAGGTGATAAATAAGTGAGTGCATTTGTATATGTATTGATACCTGAGTGCAAAGGTATGCGTGTGCATGAGTGAGTGAGCCATTGAGCGTATGGTTGAGTGTGCAGGTGAGCGAGTGAGTGAGCCAGTGTGTATATGGTGGAATGCACGGGTGGGTTTTTGAGTGAGTGAGCCTGCGAGTGGATGGTTGAGTGCACAGGTGGGCGAGTGAGCTTGTGAGTTTATGGTTAAATGCACAGGTGAGTGAGTGAGCCGGTGAATGTATGGGTGAGTGAGTTGGTGAGTGTATAGGTGAGTGAGTGAGCCAGTGAATGTATGGGTGAGTGAGTAAGCCGGTGAGTGCATGGGCGAGTGAGTAAGCAGGTGAGTGCATGGGTGAGTGAGTGAGCCGGTGAGTGTATGGGTGAGTGAGCCGGTGACTGTATGGGTGGGTGGGTGAGCCGGTGAGTGTATGGGTGGGTGGGTGAGCCGGTGAGTGTATGGGTGAGTGAGCCGGTGAGTGTATGGGTAGGTGGGTGAGCCGGTGAGTGTATGGGTGAGTGAGCCGGTGAGTGTATGGGTGAGTGAGTGAGCTGGTGAGTGTATGGGTGAGTGAGTGAGCCGGTGAGTGTATGGGTGGGTGAGTGAGCCGGTGAGTGTATGGGTGGGTGGGTGAGCCGGTGAGTGTATGGGTGGGTGGGTGAGCCGGTGAGTGTATGGGTGGGTGGGTGAGCCGGTGAGTGTATGGGTGGGTGGGTGAGCCGGTGAGTGTATGGGTGAGTGAGTGTGCCGGTGAGTGTATGGGTGAGTGAGTGAGCCGGTGAGTGTATGGCTGAGTGAGTGAGCCGGTGAGTGTATGGGTAGGTGGGTGAGCCGGTGAGTGTATGGGTGAGTGAGTGAGCCGGTGAGTGTATGGGTGGGTGGGTGAGCCGGTGAGTGTATGGGTGAGTGAGTGAGCCGGTGAGTGTGTGGGTGAGTGAGTGAGCCGGTGAGTGTATGGGTGAGTGAGTGAGCCGGTGAGTGTATGGGTGAGTGAGTGAGCCGGGGAGTGTATGGGTGAGTGAGTGAGCCGGTGAGTGTATGGGTGAGTAAGTGAGCCGGTGAGTGTATGGCTGAGTGAGTGAGCCGGTGAGTGTATGGGTAGGTGGGTGAGCCGGTGAGTGTATGGGTGAGTGAGTGTGCCGGTGAGTGTATGGGTGAGTGAGTGAGCCGGTGAGTGTATGGCTGAGTGAGTGAGCCGGTGAGTGTATGGCTGAGTGAGTGAGCCGGTGAGTGTATGGCTGAGTAAGTGAGCCGGTGAGTGTATGGCTGAGTGAGTGAGCCGGTGAGTGTATGGGTAGGTGGGTGAGCCGGTGAGTGTATGGGTGAGTGAGTGAGCCGGTGAGTGTGCGCATGCTCGCTCTCCCCCCCCCCCCCCCCCCAGCCTTCCCACCCCGAGGTCGGCGAAGGGCCCCTGGTTGAGCGGCAGGTGCGCCACGTGGCAGGTGTCGCGAGCGGCGAGCGTGCGTGGCGTGCTGTAGGCGCCACGCAGGGAGCCCTCCTCCGCCAGCAGCGCCTCCAGCTCCGGCGTGGCGCCACCCGTCACCAGCGTGCGGATCAGCGTGAGCGTGTGGTCGTTGAAGTACGTCTGCGAGGTACCGGGGAGGCGGCGGTGGTGAGCGATAGACGTCGCCATCGTCGTCATCGTCATCATCATCATCATCATCACCGACCGTGGATTAGCTTCCACACGCAAAGCCGATTTCATCGCTCCATCTCATCGTCCACGTCCTCTTGGACGTGCTCAACCCCTTGCTCGCCACACTCTCGTCATTCTCGACCGTCCGCCAGCATCCCTTCTCGCGTCATCGTATTCGGTTATATTCTGGATTTTCTCCAGGCCATCCCATTGCCTCTCACGTGCAAACTGCTCCTTACAACAATCACACATGAGAGTCTTGAGACTGGGTAAATAAATAACACCGCCATTATTTGAAAATATACGTTGGCTATTATCTTTAGCAATGTACGTTCATGCCCTTGTATCTCCAATCCAGTTTTAAGAGCACGTCACCTAATGTCCCTGTGAAGAGCCTTGATAGGGATATTTGCAAATGGAATTTTCATCACGAATTGAGAACACACGGAGAAGAGCAATGCGGCCGACCCAATACCAACGGTGAAAGTGATCATCATTTTACAGCCCTGGCCACTGCTGTATGAAGGCCTCAATCACGCTATGTCAACCACCGGGGTTGTTTGACCATAATGCATCACGCTGTTCAGTGTGGGTCAGCAAAAGGATGGCCCAGGACTGGTCTAACTCGCCACTGATTTTAGCCCTTGCAAGTGCGGCAACCACTAGGCTGCTGCTCCCCCTTATGAGCATCACGAATGATATGACGCAGTAGACATAGCAATCACAAGACACAGTTGTTGATGCGTACCGTATTTTTTTTTACTTGTATAACTCTTTAAAAGGGCTCACCCCAGATTACTTGCAGGAACTAATACATTTATATATTCCATCAAGGTTTCATCTTCTTTGGTTCTTTCGGTAAAGTCACGTAGAATGAGAATAAAATAATAAATTAATAAAATAAAATAACACAATAAAATTCTCACGACGTTTCGGCCACAACACAAGTGGCCTTCTTCAGGTGAAAGGAACAAACCTGTCGGGACGACAGAGCTACAATGTTTTTTTTATTTTATTCTCATTCTACGTGACTTTACCGAAAGAACCAAATAAGATGAATCCTTGCAGTCACGAAAGCTTTAAATCGAAATCCATCAAGGTTCTTAAGATCTTCTGATTTACAACTGCTCAGCACTGCCCTGTCTAGGTAGTGCTTATTTGGTGAATGGGCTTCTGTTAGCGTGCCACTCAAGCTATGGAACGCCTTGCCACTTAAAATCAGGGCAATCAGAGTCACCAGATATATTTGTCTGCTTTGAAAACCCATCTCTTTAAAGTGGCCTTCACTCTTTAGTTTGGCCGGTTGCCCTGGCTCTGTTTTTGTTTCCTGCTTTTCACGCATTGCGCATTGGAATCCTAGGATGGAATTCGCATATTTACATTTTAATTATTATTAAAAAAGAGAAACTGGGAATAAACCTATATTTTAAACAAAGAAATGTGGAGCTATGCATACTTGGAATTACATCGAGAGATATCAATTACATTATGTTGACTGTTAAGAAGCGTTAGAGGGATTGGCAGGACACGTAACCAGCAAAGATGGTGCGTTTGAGACCAATTACAGAGAGTGGCCGCCAAGGGAAGGAACACCCCGGAGACTACTGCCACCGCGGAGATGGAGCAATGTAATCAGCTGCCGTGTAGGTGGTGCTGGGTAGATCGTTACACCGCAGGACCGCGAGAGCGGACTGCAGCTTGGGGAGGGCCCTCGTCTAGCAGTGGATTGATCGTGACCGCCGGTGACGATGATTACTACAAACTATTTAAAAAAAAATATTTTACCGGCGAAGGCCCACTGAGCTTTATAGCTCTCTTTCAGAAGCAACCTGAATATCACAAATAATAGCTCAACGAAGTGGCTTATCATCACATGGAAAATTTATAGCAGCCAAATACTCTAAACCCACGTTGATTCTAAATGTGGAGGGAAAACCCGGAGGGTCCAGAGAAAAATCCACGTGACTACGGGGAGAGACACGCCAACTCCATATATATAGGCATCAGGCTCGGGATCGCACCCACGACCTCCTGCATAGTAGGCGAGGCAGTTAACATCTCGCCTCATTGGCGCCGTGTAATGGTCGTGACACTGTGCTGCAAATACGGTGGAAATCGTTGAGGCAGAGGGACGTTCGGCTCCCGTGCATCTGTGAGCCACGAGCCTGAAGTGACCCTGCAAGGAGGCTTTTCCAAATGTCATCCTTGGCATAACAAGTAAACGCACAAAGAAATCGTACCAAACTAATCGATACCATCGTGGTAATTACTGTCGTTAGCATTACAAAGGAGATGTTTTATCTCTGTGAGCTATTGCGTGCTTTTAACTAGGAAAATTAATGTGCTCATTAATACATAGCTGGCCCACGAAAGTTCAATTAACGCTCTTAGAGCTGAACCTGACCAGTCAATTACTGATTAAGTAATTGTGTGTGTGAATGTGTGCACGTGTATGTATGTGTGCACATGTGTATGTGTGTGCTTCGGGAGTGGCGGTGCAGTAGATAACGCACTCTCCTATGAACTGGGTGACTTGATTTTAAATTTCCAGTCGTGGCTTACTGTACATCAGTGGTGAGTGAGCAGCACACACTGCACTGATGAGCAAGTCCAGTACTCTAACGGTGAAGGCGGTGATAGTGTATGTGTATATATGGGGAGTGGGGAGTGGTAGTGTAACGGGTAGCGCGCTGTGCTACGAACCCGGCGACCTGGGTTCAATTCCTGCTCACGCCCAACACTAGTGACGATTATCTGGGCCAGTTATGGGTCTCCCCTAGGCCGACTCAGCCTCAAATGAGTACCTGGTGCAGTGTGTAAAAACATCGCTACTGGGGAGACAAAGGCGGTCGGGCGTGGAGAGAGTGGAAAGTTTCCCATATCTGGGCATTGTGCTTATGACCGGCTCCAGTTTAATAGCAGAGGTCTCACTCCGAATCAGCCGAGCGGCATTATCTTTTCATCGGTTGCGTAACGCTGTGTGGAAGCTACCTGGTCTGTCACTCCGCACAAAGCTTCAGGTCTTCTCGGCCACAGTAATTCCCTCCCTTCTCTATGCTTGCGAAACGTGGACCCCCCTAATGGAACATCTTCGCCGGTTAGAAACATTTTAAGCTGGCCTGCCTACGATCCATCCTGGGTTTAACCAGGCTGGATTGTGTGAGGAGCTAACAAATCCTTGAAAAATCTGGGCACGGTCCCATCGGTGAGCTCCTCCGGCAGGCAAGGCTGCGCTGGCTGGGTCATGTAGCCTGCATGCCCAGTCACCGTATGCCTAAACAGCTTTTGTTTGGCCGGATTGAGGGGGCTAAACGGGCGCGGCACGGGCTAGAGAAGAGATGGAGTGATGTGGTACAGGAGGACGTGGAGCTGAGTGGACTTGCCGATGACTGGTACCAGCGGTGTCAAGATCGACCTCTGTGGAGAAGGCTCGTGAAGGACGCTGCTACTGGGCAATTGGAGGCAGTTGCCCTCCAACAACAACGGAGGGCGGAGGAGCGACGCTCACAACAAGGAACGCCGGGTGGCTAAAGCAAAGCAAGTTGGCACAGTACGGAGCACAGGTGGTGCATCAGCCAGTCATCTCAGTCAGTCGACCTGTGGAATCTGGGTCTGCTCCATGACCTCCTGCCAGCGGGCGTTCGACACTTCACGTGGCCTCAAAGTGCACATGGCCTGGCACAAGCGTCGTGGTGACGTCACCGCCACTTAGTGGTGAATGGCGGTTGTTGTGTGTATGTATAGGTGTGTGTATAGGTGTGTGTGTGTAAAGGCGTGTGTATGTGTATAGAGCTATGTGTGTATAGAGGGGTGTGTGTATGTATAGGCGTGTGTGTGCATGTCGAGGTGCATGTCTAGGTGTGTGTATATAGAGGTCTGTGGCACTCACCGCGCTCATGAGCGAGTCGAGCACGCTGACGGTGAAGGCGGTGCCGCAAGCGAACGGCTGGGTGAGGTAGAGCTCAGTGTCCGGGTCGTCATCGTCGTCCTGGTCCAGGAACTGCACGTTCGAGTCGTTCACTTTGGTGGATTGAGTGCAGAAAAACAGAGACAAAGATCCCCCGTATAGCCTTGACAGACTGCTGGGGAAAGTGCAGTCAGCCAGTAGTACCTATGAAGGCTGGCACCTTTGTCTCCCCAGTGCTGACGTTTGCACGCCGCACCGGGTACCCATTTGAGCACACATATATATATACATGCCCACACACATACATGCCCACACACACACATGCCCACATACATGCCCACACACACACATGCCCACATACATGCCCACACACATACATGCCCACACACACACATGCCCACACATATACATGCCCACACACATACATGCCCACATACATGCCCACACACACACATGCCCACACACATACATGCCCACGCACATACATGCCCACACACACACATGCCCACACAAATACATGCCCACATACATGCCCACACACATAAATGCCCACACACAGACACTCCACACACACATACATGCCCACACACATACACTCCACATGCATCTCACACGTACACCAATAGTGGCACTGGAGGTGACTGTGGTACTGGTGGTGGAGGTGACGGTGGTACTGGTGGTGGAGGTGACGGTGGTACTGGTGGTGGAGGCGACTGTGGTACTGGTGGTGGAGGTGACGGTGGTATTGGTGGTGGTGACGGTGGTACTGGTGGTGGAGGTGACGGTGGTACTGGTGGTGGAGGTGACGGTGGTATTGGTGGTGGTGACGGTGGTACTGGTGGTGGAGGTGACGGTGGTACTGGTGGTGGAGGTGACGGTGGTACTGGTGGTGGAGGTGACTGTGGTATTGGTGGTGGAGGTGACGGTGGTATTGGTGGTGGTGGTGACGGTGGTACTGGTGGTGGAGGTGACGGTGGTACTGGTGGTGGTGACGGTGGTACTGGTGGTGGTGGTGACGGTGGTACTGGTGGTGGAGGTGACGGTGGTACTGGTGGTGGAGGTGACGGTGGTACTGGTGGTGGTGGAGGTGACGGTGGTACTGGTGGTGGTGGTGACGGTGGTACTGGTAGTGGAGGTGACGGTGGTACTGGTAGTGGAGGCGACGGTGGTACTGGTAGTGGAGGCGACGGTGGTACTGGTGGTGGAGGTGATGGTGGTACTGGTGGTGGAGGTGACTGTGGTATTGGTGGTGGAGGTGATGGTGGTACTGGTGGTGGAGGTGACGGTGGTACTGGTGGTGGAGGTAACTGTGGTATTGGTGGTGGAGGTGACGGTGGTACTGGTGGTGGAGGTGACGGTGGTACTGGTGGTGGAGGTGACGGTGGTAATGGTGGTGGAGGTGACGGTGGTTCTGCTGGTGGAGGTGACGGTGGTACTGGTGGTGGAGGTGACGGTGGTACTGGTGGTGGAGGTGACGGTGGTACTGGTGGTGGTGGAGGTGACGGTGGTACTGGTGGTGGAGGTGACGGTGGTACTGGTGGTGGAGGTGACGGTGGTACTGGTGGTGGAGGTGACGGTGGTAATGGTGGTGGAGGTGACGGTGGTAATGGTGGTGGAGGTGACGGTGGTTCTGCTGGTGGAGGTGACGGTGGTACTGGTGGTGGAGGTGATGGTGGTACTGGTGGTGGAGGTGACGGTGGTACTGGTGGTGGAGGTGACGGTGGTACTGGTGGTGGAGGTGACGGTGGTACTGGTGGTGGAGGTGACGGTGGTACTGGTGGTGGAGGTGACGGTGGTACTGGTGGTGGTGGTGACGGTGGTACTGGTGGTGGAGGTGACGGTGGTACTGGTGGTGGAGGTGACGGTGGTACTGGTGGTGGAGGTGACGGTGGTACTGGTGGTGGAGGTGACGGTGGTACTGGTGGTGGAGGTGACGGTGGTACTGGTGGTGGTGGTGACGGTGGTACTGGTGGTGGAGGTGACGGTGGTAATGGTGGTGGAGGTGACGGTGGTTCTGCTGGTGGAGGTGACGGTGGTACTGGTGGTGGAGGTGACGGTGGTAATGGTGGTGGAGGTGACGGTGGTTCTGCTGGTGGAGGTGACGGTGGTATTGGTGGTGTAGGTGACGGTGGTTCTGGTGGTGGAGGTGACGGTGGTACTAGTGGTGGAGGTGACGGTAGTTCTGCTGGTGGAGGTGACGGTGGTACTGGTGGTGGAGGTGACGGTGGTACTGGTGGTGACGGTGGTACTGGTGGTGGAGGTGACGGTGGTACTGGTGGTGGTGACGGTGGTACTGGTGGTGGTGTAGGTGACGGTGGTACTGGTGGTGGAGGTGACGGTGGTACTGGTGGTGACGGTGGTACTGGTGGTGGAGGTGACGGTGGTACTGGTGGTGACGGTGGTACTGGTGGTGGAGGTGACGGTGGTACTGGTGGTGGTGACGGTGGTACTGGTGGTGGTGGAGGTGACGGTGGTACTGGTGGTGCCGGCATGGGCGAGGTGGCTGCGTACCCAGCTCCGTCACCATGGGCACGTGCGCGCCGCTCGTGATGTGCGAATCGAGCCGGGGCCTGCCGAGCCGGGGGCCGCCCTGGTTGGCCGGCCCTTCGTCCGGGTCCCTCGCAGCCCCCTCCTCCTCATCCCGGGGGTCGGGCTCCAGGCCGGGCGGCATGAACCCTGGGAGGGACGCGCCGCATCGCACCACCGCACCGTCAGCAGCCCGGCCGCACAGGAGCCTGGGCTGGTGCCGAAGTCCCACAACTTCCGTGCGTAACCGTGCAGGAATACGCTCGGATGAATCTACGGTAAAGGCGCGTACGCACGTACGTTGAACTTTTTCGCAACGTACGTAGCCAACGAGGGGGTGGGTGGCCAGCACCACGCCTGGCCGCATACATCTCCCCAGACCAGCACCTGGTGCGATGTGTAAACAATTGAGGCTTAGTCGACATACTGGAGGCCCAGGACCGGTTCAGATAATCGACACCGGTGTTGGCCCTGAGCGGGAATGGAATTCGGGTCGCCGGGTTCGCACGGCCCTGCAAATCATGGCCACTGCTGGCATACAGAAGTGAAGGAGAGAGGGAGGGAAGGAGGGAGGGAGGGAGCGAGCGAGCGACTGACCACGGGAGTTTGCACGCAGGGGCCCTATGGCGTCGTGGAAGAGCATGCTCTTGATGTTGAGGGACGCGAGGATGCACTCTTTGTCCTGCAGCGACGCATCGTCCGAGCAGCCTTCCCCGGCCGACAGGATGACGCACATGTCGCACAGGTTCACGCTGACGGCGCGCAGGTCGGCCCGGCTCAGCGGCGAGCCCTGCGCACAACGGGCAGCGGCCGCTCATCAGAATCGGAATCTTCATTTATTACTGGAGGAAGTTCTTTTTCACAGTGCCCCAGTAGGGGCACGGGATCAGAACGTTACAACAACAAACAATAAAATAACACGATAGGAGTGCAAAGTATACAAGAGGTTAACAAATCACTTAAAAATATATAGAAATAAAACGAAACTATTTTTTTTTATCTTACCAGGTTCAGCCCACTAAACTTTTAGCGTCTCTTTCAGACGTTGTGGGTTTAATTGAATCATTCTTACATTAGTCCATTGTTAGGGTGGGGGGGCGTCAGCATGACACACGAACCCGGCTCAACGCTACTGGATGCGGGTGACATCACCACCACACACCTGCCTGCCCGCATGCCAGCCAGTCAGCCAGCAAAACCTTTTTTTCATCGTATGATATAATCAAGTAACATGTTTGGTCTTCCTGAATTATCTCAGTCTGCATCTTCAGTCAGACTCGCTAATGTTCCTTGATCAGTCAGTAATTGTTAGGCAGTCCCAGCCACTGCCATGCCAGCCGAATTTCGTCCAACTGTAGTCATCGTCGACTGAATGAAAACCAAAAAAAACCTGCTACTTTTGCAACTTTCGCCACGGGAATGCACGCGGTCTCACGGGAAGGATGGAGATCTTGGGGAAGTGATTGAGGGACTCCCACTCGCGCCGCAGGTACTCGAGCGAGCCGAGCAGCACGATGTGCTTGAGCTCACGCCGGCGGAAGTTGCTAGCGCGCAGCGGCATCACGAAGTTGCGCAGCCCGGCCAGGGCTGAGGTGGCGCCGCCGAAGATGCACACCACCACGTGCCCGCTGAGTGCCGTCATGGCCGCCTCGGCACGCGTCTACCCGCCAACCGACACGGTAAGCGTGAACGCGACACAACGACGACGACGACAAGAAAGTGTGTGACGGCTGTAGTGACAACACGCACCGTCACAACACGGAACACACACCGTCACAACACGCACCGTTACAACACGGAACACACACCGTTACAACACGCACCGTTACAAAGCGGAACACACACCGTTACAACAAGGAACACACACCGTTACAACACGCACCGTTACAAAGCGGAACACACACCGTTACAACAAGGAACACACACCGTTACAACACGCACCGTTACAACACGGAACACACACCGTTACAACACGCACCGTTACAAAGCGGAACACACACCGTTACAACAAGGAACACACACCGTTACAACACGCACCGCTACAACACGGAACACGCACCATTTAAACGCGGAACACGCACCGTTACAACAAGGAACTCACGTCGTTAGAACACGGTTTCTGAGCGAGCAGATGACGAACTACTTTATTGATCTGCAAGGCTGAGCAGTATGATACAGTATGTGGTGCATCCCCATCTCCCGCACCTCTGATTAGCACGGGTTGGCTCTGTACGGTGCGAAAGAAGTTAAGTGTACTTATATCTCTGTTCTTTGTCCTGCCATGGGATGGCTACAGACTTATTTAAAAGTGAAAATGTGATTCAAATGTGAATTTATTTATTCCCTATAATGTGTATATGTATAAGTAATTCCTCGCTTGACGCATTTTTGCTAAAAACGGAACTTTTCGCAAACGCATCTACTGAATTAAACAAGGCATGACTGAAACGAACTTTTTTCACGTTGAAGATAACTGCTATATTTGAGAAAAGCAACGCATACTGTGGAACATAACTCGAAAATCCACACAAAGACATTTAAAACATTCTGGCAAACCTTGTGATTATGCACGGACCACAGACACTGTCTCCAAATCACTGGGTAAATAGACAGACCTGGTGGTCATGGTGATAGCGGTTGTGGTGACGGCGGTTGAGATGGCGGTTATGGTGATAGCGGTTGTGTTGATGGTGGTTGAGATGGCGGTTATGGTGATAGCGGTTGTGTTGATGATGATCGCGATGACGGTTATGGTGATAGCGGTTGTGTTGATGATGATCGCGATGACAATTATCGTGATAGCGGTTGTGTTGATGGTGGTTGAGATGGCAGTTATAGCGGTTGTGTTGATGATGGTTGCGATGGCGGTTATGGTGATAGCGGTTGTGTTGATGGTGGTTGCGATAGTGGTCACGTTGTGACAGTCATGGCCCTGGGTTCCTCACCAGCAGCACCTGCTCGATGTCCCGTGCCGGGCACCAGTGGAACATGCCCGTGGAGTCGAAGCGCATCACGTTGGTGCCAAAGTGATCCGCTGCATCCATGCGTCCCGCCTCCATTGAGCTGTGCCTGCCGGAGGTTCGCAATAAGGTCAAAGGTTCAGGCAGGGTCACGTCAAAATCCAAAGTGCCTCCACGCTCAAGCTAAAGAGGTTGGCCCATGCTAATTTCCATCCATTGCCTGAAGTCGGTGGTAAAGAAATTCCACTTCCACTCGCGACTCACCTGAGTAGCCAGATAATTTTGTGGGACCCATGCCCAGTGTGATAGTGTGTGAGTAACAGTGGCGGCTGGTGACCTCTAAGTCAGAGACAGCACAAGTACGAACCATCGCCAAGAAACAAGGAAATCTTAACATCTTTGGGAAGTCATGTAAGCAAACACCAGTGTACTGTTAACACATTCACACCTCTGTATGAACGTGTTACAGACAGACACAAAGACTCATGCAGAGACACACAGACATGGAAGCAGAGACACACACAGAGACACGGAGACACACACAGAGACACGGAGACATACACAGACACGTAGACACGGAGACAGAGACACAAAGAGACGGAGACACACAGGCACGGAGACACACAAAGACAAAGATCCCCCGTATAGCCGTAACAGACTGTTTTGGTAGCGAGCACCTATTGAAGGCCGGCACGGCGCACGAGGCTGTGGGTTGCCAGCACCACGCCCGACCGCCTTTGTCTCCCGAGTGACACACAGACACGAATACACAAACACGGACGCAGAGATACCCAGAGACCAGACACGGAGACACTCATGCAGTTGGGCATATTTTGGTCACGGATTTGATCAGTGCAACTTAATTTACTTGTTCTTGACAACATCGTATAGGGAATTCTCCCTCAGTTACAACGCATTTCCACCCACCCGGACGGACCAACGGTGACTCTTTGGCTCTGTGTGCGCCGTGCAGATTGAGCAAGATAGAACTTGTGTGCCGTGGGGTGAAACCGGTTGAGAAGCACTGCAGCACACACCACCATCACCTCCACCAGAACTCACGTTCAGTTGCAGCACACAATAGCTCTCTTGGTCCAGACCATATTACACACGTGGTGGGGACTGCACACCTGTCAACCCCTTATGAGTGCCCTACCTTACTACAGACCAATTCAGACCTCATTGGTCACCCCCCGTGCCCTTATAAATCTCAACGTTCTTCCTACCGAGTCCCATCACAAAAAAATTGACAAAACATTTTTTATTCAATTTCCCTGGAGAAGAATACGGGTGAACCGCATGGGTTGACAGGTATGGGACTGCGTTGTAATTTATTTCTAATCATGTACGCATGTTGAATTTCTTTCACGCCGTATGTAGCCAACCGTGCTAATTGGAGTCTTGTCGAGATCTCATCTTTTCGTTTCGCTCCACGCGTTGGAGCGAAACGTCGGACATAGTGCCGAACTAAAAAGGCACCAACAACGCTCAAAGACCGCATCCGAGGGATATGCCTGTACAGCACAAGTGCAAAAGCCAACGCAGCAACGAGAGGGATGTTACTTTGTTCACGTTAACAGTGTCACCTGAAAACTAATTTCTTTAAAAATGATTTTATTTTGCCTTTAGTTTGTTGTCCTTCCCCCCCCCCCGCACCTCCGATTAGCACGGCGTACGGTGCAAAATAATTCGAACATACACAAGCAACACATAGCCTGTGTGTTGCTTGTGTGTGTTGTATGTGCAGGGCCACGCGTGTAACTCACGGTTGCAGCTGCATGCTGTGGTCCGCCCATTCGTCGCTGCCCCTCCGCTGCTTGCGCGATGAGCACACCTCCTCATTGGCTGCCGGGCAAGCCAATCACAATCACCACCGTTGAAGCACACACAGCATCAAAGACACTCAATGTCCTTATTACTGCATGAATATGGCAATATTATGCAGGAGTTAAATGCCGATGTCTGGGGCCGCGAGCACACGACATGCTTTTTAGGAGGGAGAGAGATTTTGTGTCGTTTTGCTTTTACTCCTCCATTGAAGGAGACTCAGACTAAGGGTGGTTTTACTTTATAGTCCATCGGCCTGTTGATGTTGTGATGCGTTTGATGGTTACACCACCGGTGTCTTCGAGGAGGAATGTCAAAGGCCAGGAGGTGTGCGATGTTTGGGTCCCGAATGAGGCGATCAGTGTGGACATCACGAATAACTAGGGTCGCCACAATGCGGCGATACCACGAGATATCGTCGCACGATAAAAAAAAATCCGCGATAATTGTATCCTCCATTTTCGTATAATACCACTGTCGTTAACTTTAAGTCTTCATTTCAACGGGAAAATGAAATAAACAAGTTCACAAAATAAAAGTGTATAAATATTTAAAACGAAATCAACGATTCAATTAGTGCTCTGTGAAAAGTTTTCCAAGCAAATCGGTGATTATACGATGCCTTCGTCGTTATAAGCGTGGCAGGTTGTACGCTTGCAGTGATTCGACGGCGTGGCGAGCTTCTTTAACCGCAGTTGAGTAAACCACCGTTGAAGAACTTTCAAGTATTTTTTAAATTAGTACTATGTAGTAATTAGTACTATGTAGTAATTAGTACTATGTAGTACATCAGAGCACAAAAACAATACAATATGTGACGCACAATGACAAAGCTATGGAAAACTCAGATCGTGATTATCGTCACATCGCAAATGTGAATATCGTACTGTGTCCTGATATCGCAGAATCCATACCTTGACCAGGACAAGAGCCACTGCTGCTCACAAGACTTGTCAGTGAGGTCTCAAGGTGTCACTTGTGATGCCGGGGGGTTTCAATGTTGAATGTCACTTTAAGCCATTGATTTCTTACATTAGATGGTGTTTAGTGTGCACTCTGTATTTGCGCCAAGCAACTACACATTCTAACTAGAATTTTACACTTTTAGATGTGATATTCTTGGTTATTGTCCCTCTATAGAACGTCATTTTTCAATTTTTACAAAAATAATTTCACCATATTTATATTTTTTATTGTATCCCACGTTTCGATACAACACAATTATTCCCCAGTTTCAAAAGATATAACATTACAAATATCCGAGGCTATTTTTGCTAAATTCTACAGGACAGTCATGAACATGGAGTGAGCCATCAATCTGCACTGACATTCAAGGCTGTGTTTATCTACACAATGGGACGCTGCTGCATTGCCTCATATAAACATTACTCAATTGTATTTCATATTGCATACAAATATTGTATAGCATACATTCATAGCCTTTTAAATGTATATGTAGATATAAATATCCCAATTCCTGTCAGCAGAGCTTGTGAGTAAATGTGTACATCTTGACTTTGGAGAAGGCTATCTGTAAGAATGAAGACAAAATCTGCTTTTGTCAACAGCCACGTTTTGAATTAATGTTTGTAGCTCATAATTATCAAATGCATACTCCATATTATAATTGCATTCATATATTACGTCGATATTTACTTGGTGTTATTGCGTTCGCATCACAAATTGAGAAACGTTAAAGGTGGGCATTCCACTGATTTCCGACAAAATGGAATTGTTTATGTTCGATGACAAAAATATATCGTATAAAAAACAGAAACTTTGAGATTAAGAAAATAATAATCTTGCAGGTTGTCACGAGATGCAATCACAAATTGCAACAAAAAAAAGAGGAATAAAATGCAAATGGGAAAAGCAGTAAAACATTATATTTATGGGGGGGGGGGGTTATGTTGATTGACAAAAAAAAACGATGAGCCAAAAAAATTTGCGGCTGAAGATGACAAAAAGATTTCTCCCCACAGTTCGAAAGTGAAGCGATGCAAAAAAAAAAACTCCCCAGCAAGGTCGCAGTTCGTGCATTTTTAGCAAAATAAAATGAGCGTTCAGATGTGAACCAACTCGTGCATTGACATGCGACAGCTGTGGCCAGGTGAGAAAGAAGACAATGAGTGAATGAGTAAGAAGACCAACAACATAAGAAGAAGAAGACAGGATAGAGGGGGCATGCGATGAGGGTCTCTGGGGTTGTTGTTGTTGTTTTACTACCAGCAAGGGCTGATTCCAAGGGCGACACAATGTGGGTGACCGGAATGACGACACGAAGACGTACACAAATGTGCAACAGGCGCGCGCCCAGCCACACACACAGAAGACGCCGGACTTCGGGGGGGGGGGGGGGGGGGCAGTCGTTGTTTCCCCCTCCCCCCCCCCCACCGAGCGGATCCGCTGCGGGACAGCTCAGCGCAGACACTTACACAGGGCGAAGTGATTGGGGGTCGGGGGCGCGGGGGCCTGGGTCCAGACCTGGGCGTCGGCCTCGGTGGCCGCCGGACACCACACCTGGCGCAGCCTCTGGCACACGGTCAGCTTAACTGGGCCACAGCGTGGCGGTGGAGGTAGTGGGGGGGGGGGGGGCAAGGGGGTAGTGGGGGGCAGTGGGGGGCGAGGGGCGAGGCATGGGGTTGAGGTGTAGGAACGCGGCGGTGTAGTGCGAGTTGAAGAGGCGTGGAGGTGAATCGTATGGAGGTGAGTTGCACGAGGGGTAACGTGTTACGGACGAGGTGATCAGAGCAGAGAGTTGGGGGGGGTGGGCTGGGCGTAGGGGTGTGTTGTGAGGGTGAGGTGTATTGGTGAGGTGTAGGGGTGAGGTGTATTGGTGAGGTGTATTGGTGATGTGTAATGGTGAGGTGTAGGGATGTGTTGTGAGGGTGAGGTGTAGGGGTGAGGTGTATTGGTGAGGTGTATGGGTGATGTGTAATGATGTGTTGTGAGGGTGAGGTGTAGGGGTGAGGTGTATTGGTGAGGTGTAGGGGTGATGTGTAATGGTGAGGTGTAGGGGTGAGGTGTTTTGGTGGTGTATTGGTGAGGTGTAGGGGTGAGGTGTATTGGTGAGGTGTAGGGGTGATGTGCAATGGTGAGGTGTAGGGATGTGTTGTGAGGGTGAGGTGTAGGGGTGTGTTGTGAGGGTGAGGTGTATTGGTGAGGTGTAGGGGTGAGGTGTATTGGTGAGGTGTAGGGGTGATGTGTAATGGTGAGGTGTAGGGGTGATGTGTAATGGTGAGGTGTAGGGATGTGTTGTGAGGGTGAGGTGTATTGGTGAGGTGTAGGGGTGAGGTGTAATGGTGAGGTGTAGGGGTGATGTGTAATGGTGAGGTGTAGGGGTGATGTGTAATGGTGAGGTGTAGGGATGTGTTGTGAGGGTGAGGTGTATTGGTGAGGTGTAGGGGTGAGGTGTAATGGTGAGGTGTAGGGGTGAGGTGTATTGGTGAGGTGTAGGGGTGAGGTGTATTGGTGAGGTGTAGGGGTGATGTGTAATGGTGAGGTGTAGGGGTGATGTGTAATGGTGAGGTGTAGGGATGTGTTGTGAGGGTGAGGTGTATTGGTGAGGTGTAGGGGTGAGGTGTAATGGTGAGGTGTAGGGGTGATGTGTAATGGTGAGGTGTAGGGGTGATGTGTAATGGTGAGGTGTAGGGATGTGTTGTGAGGGTGAGGTGTATTGGTGAGGTGTAGGGGAGAGGTGTAATGGTGAGGTGTAGGGGTGAGGTGTATTGGTGAGGTGTAGGGGTGAGGTGTAATGGTGAGGTGTAGGGGTGATGTGTAATGGTGAGGTGTAGGGGTGATGTGTAATGGTGAGGTGTAGGGGTGAGGTGTAATGGTGAGGTGTAGGGGTGAGGTGTATTGGTGAGGTGTAGGGGTGATGTGTAATGGTGAGGTGTAGGGATGATGTGTAATGGTGAGGTGTAGGGGTGAGGTGTAGGGGTGTGTTGTGAGGGTGAAGTGTATGGGTGATGTGTAATGGTGAGATGTAGGGGTGATGTGTAATGGTGAGGTGTAGGGGTGAGGTGTATTGGTGAGGTGTAGGGGTGAGGTGTATTGGTGAGGTGTAGGGGTGAGGTGTATTGGTGAGGTGTAGGGGTGAGGTGTAATGGTGAGGTGTAGGGGTGTGTTGTGAGGGTGAGGTGTATGGGTGATGTGTAATGGTGAGATGTAGGGGTGATGTGTAATGGTGAGATGTAGGGGTGATGTGTAATGGTGAGGTGTAGGGGTGAGGTGTATTGGTGAGGTGTAGGGGTGAGGTGTATTGGTGAGGTGTAGGGGTGATGTGTAATGGTGAGGTGTAGGGGTGATGTGTAATGGTGAGGTGTAGGGGTGAGGTGTAATGGTGAGGTGTAGGGGTGAGGTGTATTGGTGAGGTGTAGGGGTGATGTGTAATGGTGAGGTGTAGGGATGATGTGTAATGGTGAGGTGTAGGGGTGAGGTGTAATGGTGAGGTGTAGGGGTGTGTTGTGAGGGTGAGGTGTATGGGTGATGTGTAATGGTGAGATGTAGGGGTGATGTGTAATGGTGAGGTGTAGGGGTGAGGTGTATTGGTGAGGTGTAGGGGTGAGGTGTATTGGTGAGGTGTAGGGGTGAGGTGTATTGGTGAGGTGTAGGGGTGAGGTGTAATGGTGAGGTGTAGGGGTGTGTTGTGAGGGTGAGGTGTATGGGTGATGTGTAATGGTGAGATGTAGGGGTGATGTGTAATGGTGAGATGTAGGGGTGATGTGTAATGGTGAGGTGTAGGGGTGAGGTGTATTGGTGAGGTGTAGGGGTGATGTGTAATGGTGAGGTGTAGGGGTGTGTTGCAGAAGTGGGGCAGGTGGTTTATGGGCGGGAGGCGTGAGGAGGAATACGTATCACGTGTAATGGTTGAGGTGAAGCGTGCCATTACGAGGGAGGTGTTGGTCAGGTGGTTTTAGGGACAGCGTGTAAATACGAGCATGACAGGGGTCGTGTTGTAGGGAGGAGGGTTTATCAAGGCAGGTGAGGAGGTTGTGAGCGCAGGGATAGGGGACAGAGAAAGAGAGGAAAGATTCCACCACAAGTTTTACCAAATGAGGTTTTGCACAAACTCTGAATGCATCATTTCAAGAAAAAAAGCACAAAAACGCGTCCCAAAATGTTCCAAAATGAACACAAAAAACCACCACTAGGCCATCAAAAAAACGCCTGTGGGGAAAAAAAAAACAATAATTAGAAAATATGAACATTATTAACATGGCATTTTTTGGAGGGGGGGGAGGGGGGGAGAGTTTTCAAACAACTCCCAAGGACAAAATAATGCATTAAAAATAACTCCAGTAACAAGAAGAAAAAAACTACAAAGTACCATTTGAATAAAATCATGACAATATTCTTGCTGCAGGCTGTTTAGAAACGACCCTCGAGAGAACAGAAATGAATACATGTTACACTTGTGAGACATATTAATCATTTACGGGTTAGTTAATATGTACTATTTATGTTACTGATTCCCACTGCTACTGCTGCCTGATAAATTTAATTCGGCAGGACGTGTTAACGAATCCCGTTGGACACATTTTCTGCTGCAGGTCGATGCAATTCATTACCTTTAAGAGATCCTCTAATACACGATATCTGTTTTTATAAGGGAGACCTGGTGTGCATTTTAGTCACGTGGACACTCAGGTTTCCTGAGCTTTAAGCGCGGTCGGTCTGTGCGATTTCGTGTGTATATGCAGCTAACCGATATATACCCCAAAAAAATCGTTATGCATGGTTTGAATTCACTTCACATGCGGCTATGCGTTCGGACGTGGGACAACATAGCGTGCGTGTGTGTACTGTGTGTACTGTGTGCGCTATTCGGCAGGCAGCTGTCTCGTGCGGTTGTACAGCCCTCTTGTCAATCCTCTGCTGGATGAGGTGACATCCCCATGCCATGCTGGTCGTGCCCACAACAAAGCCCCACAACCCGATAATAACCAGCCCGCATCGCACGCTTTCGGACGCTCTTCTGCGGCTATCTGGAACGCTCTTCCTTCCGATATTAGGAAGCCACTGGAACTTTTAAATAATCTAGAATTGAATACTAATTTATTTAAAACTATTTTTTTGTGTGTTGAGTTTGTTGCCTTTCCCCCGCACTTCCGATTAGCACGGTTGGCTACGTACGGTGAGAAAGAAGTTCAACATACACACGTGGTGTTGCCCATCAGGCATGCGTGGCCAGTTAAGTCATTTCATTTTCACGACTTAGCTGTCATGCAAGTGGTGGCTGCTTCCCAACATTTTTGTCAATGAGAACCCATCACAGCTGCTATGATCATCCCACTGATCCTATTATAGTAAGCAGTCCAGTCGTAAAGGCAGACTTTAAATGATGACCATTGTGTCTACACCATAGCTTGAAGAGTCAGCGAGCAGTGGATAGAGAGGCAGACCCTCCTGTGCTTGTCACGGACCAGTGGCGCTGCTGACCCGTGCTGAACTTTAATCCGATTATAGATCTCTTAACGGCACCTGCGAGGACCGTGAATCCCAATTTTAGATCACGTTGCACTAAACATAAAACAAAAATCACGACATTTCGATCGCAACACAAGCAATCGTCTTCAGGTGAAAAAATTACATGATTATTTTTCTATCTACGTGACTTTGCCGAAAGACCCAAAGAGTATGAATTCCTGCAGTCACGAAAGCTTTAAGTCAAGAGTAAACATTCTGATCACTGAAATTAAGGCATGGAATGGTAGAGCCCAATTAGGGTATATGTTGCACAATGTTACACTGAGGACAAGCCACGTGGCATGGCTGTATGCTGGTGGAATGTTACCATTTCACAGCATATGTAACACCTACAAGCAGGGCCCATGTTTTGCAGTGCGTTTTTTCATTAACGATTGTCAATGGCCTTTATTGTAAATCCTGGAAAACGTGTTGAAAGGTCTTTTATTGCATGAAGTGTATGGCTAGGAATGCATTTCCACGGCATGACAATAGACGTACGAAAGGAAGAGCGCGTGCACGTGATAATGGCCGTGCACTTTCCTCCTCTTTATTGTTTTGTCATTTCAGCTGTGGGCAAATTTCTAAATTTTCAGCTACGATGCAGCATGCGATGGCTTTAACTCTTGCGAACGATATCACGAAATGCTCAGTATCCACCGTGACAGGTGACAAAATGTTCTAGACCTTGCGGTAAGCTCTGAGAATCGCAGATGATTCTGCAAGCTGGCTCAGTGGCGAATGCACTGAATGCTATGCTGCTAATCGGTCACCTGCAGATTATCACAGCTATTCGTGATGAGTCGCAGTGGTTGTCGCTACAGCAGAGCAAGGCGTGCACTCTCAACCACAAGTGTTTACACCAAAATGTCACCCCCCCCCCCCCTATCTGGCTAATATTTTACGATGTGATGCCAGTTTCTGCCTATACCAGTCATCATCAATGCCGGTCGGCAGTACACGGTGACCTGATTGTCCTACGAGACGTCAAGGTAAGATCCCCACAGCTTTGAAGTGTCCGGCCCAGCTTACCAACCCACCAACTCACTTACCCACCCACTCACCTACCTGTACACTTTTTTTTATGACACCCAACGCCACCTGCATGGTGCACACTGTCCGTGATTTTGTCACTGATCCTTAACCAGTTCTGCAGTAGCCTCCAGACGGCAATGTTCTGTAAAAGCTTACAACGTTTAACCGTAGCACCTTCACGATAGCCTCTGTGCTATAAGATTGGCGTGCATATGTACGTACGCATAGTTGAACTTCTTTCACACCGTATGTAGGTGCGGGAAACCAAATGTACTTATTATTCTAAGATTACTTAATATTGGATCTTGTCAAAGCAATGATCTGTGGAACTGCATGAGCTACCGAGTGCAGCACAACAGGGAAGGCTTAGGTGCCAGGAACGAATTAAGAATGGAGCCTTTCTGTTTTGCACTTTGTTGACTTGTACTTCGCACAATAAGAGGACTTTATGGCTCACAGGGCTATACCTAATAAATGAAACTTGGAACTTTATTATTGTCATTGCACTCTGCAGGTTTAGCAAAGTGAAAAAAGGATTAGCGACACCGTCAGGGCGAATAAGCCAATGAGAGTCCAACTTAACAGTGTCTAACACAATTTCGCAACGTAAGAGGTTCAAAAGGTCTCGATCAAAATGTGTTTTTTTTGTGTGCGTTCATGCAATTGCTAAGCTTTCAATATAAAGTTACCCTAACCTTGTGGCACATGTCGGAGGAATGGACCTCACTCCTCCAAGCTATGGCCATGAAGAACACGGCAGCACGCCGTGTGAAGAGCTGCAATGGTCTCCTCGCGAGACAGGGCATCAATTTCATTACGCTGATGCCGGTATCAAAAAATTCCCATCGATTCACTCACGCCTGTGTATGTCAAAATTGGAGTTCAGATTCCTTTCCAACGAACCACGACACGTACTCAGTTTGGCAAATGGACATCCCGTTGTTCATGATTTCATGTTAGAGTTGGTGATGCTCGGGAGAGAATTTTGTTTCTGACCCTTCTGGAAGTGTCCTTCTGTGCCTTAGGTCCTGAAGTGAGTCAACTTACCCCTGTGTGAAATATGAACTCGTCACCTTTATAATCAGAGGACAGTCAAATCCAATGGATTGGTCTATGGAACGTTATCTTGAAAGGCAGATAACTCAACTACTTCATCATTGTTTCCACTCCAAAAACAAAGTCAACCCAACGACTTCGACCAAAACAATAACTTAAGCACTCCACATCCATAGATCTTTAGCAGAGTAAATAGCAGCAGTTCTACTCGACTAGAGAAAGATTGTAACGACACATATCTGCCGTGTCGTTCTGTCAGCTGCCGGGACAGCAGGTGTTGCTGGACGGCCAATTAACATCCACAACGGCCCACAACAAGGAGCCACTCTTTGTCTCCCCAGTGCAAATATCAGCGCTACCGCATCAGGTAATAATTTCAGGCCGATACAAACCAAGGGGGAGGTTGCGCCAGGTCGCTTAATACTGATTGTCTCCCGTATTGTAACATTCACGGAGGGGAATATAACCCGGGGCGGCGCGGTACGATGACCACCACACGCCACCCACTCTACTTCCACACTCGTGCCGAGAGAATGAGTCTCCCACTGGGAGCATGGAGTGCGCTGGACTCACATTGCCGACAGGAGCACTTCTTAATCTTCTTCGGGTCGGTCACGTCCTCGTGGCACGCTTTGCAATAGTAAAACGCCCTGCAGGGTTCCACAGTCGTGGTGAGTAAATGTCAGAGAGTATCGTAAGCAAGACCACACAAGAGGGTAATCTTACGCATTCGGTGAGTGATAATGTAGAACCAGGTGACGGCACACCGAGCACACACGGGATGCAGGCGAGTGCGACGCAAAAGTAGCGTTGCACAAAAATTTCAATCACAAAAAAAAATACCGACGAAAATAAACCCAGCAAATGGATGTGCAAAGCAAAGCCCGCAGACGAAAAAGTCAAATCAACTACAGCTGAGTAAGGAAATAACAAAAGTGAATACTGTACATTATGTACGTGATAAAACATCGCTGCAAATGTAAACAGAAAATAATTAACTCGAACAATTTAAATATTAATAATATGAACGTAGCAATACTATGATGTTCATATATTTGAAATAGATTAGAAACAAATAAAAACATGCCCACATTATTTATTCTTTTCCGTTCTAATCACATGGTTTATTTCCACGTAATTTCATTACAACACCTCCCCCCCCCCCCACAATGATAGATGCTGCCTTTATTTCTCAGCACACTTGAACTTCCAGAGGCCTCCAGTTCAGTCTCCCGGCATGGAGGTTGAAACAATGGTGCAGTTTAACACGTAATCGTAGTAGTAGGTTTTCGCGACCAATATGATCCATAAGAGGGGGGTTTTTGGGATTAGATTGCGTCAATATAAATGTGTCGTTAAACCCACCACCACCCGACAAAGTACATCAGTATGGTTTGTCACGTAAACAAGACGTGCCAATTCATTCCTAGTTCAGCACACCGGTGTGTTGCTGCAGGTCATCTGAAATCCCTGCAACTTGCAGACGTCTCGGAAGAGGAAAGGGGTTCATGCTGCACAATTATTTAATAAATCCTCAATTAACGACGACATTTTAAGTACGTAATTTAGGATATTTAAAGTAGGTTCCTTAAAAGTCATTGCCGGATATGGCAACGTAACTATATAACCAACCGTGCCAACAAATAGCATGCGATATTTAGCTGCATGTGGGTATCTGGCCGCCAGACCAGAGCATTCGAACGCACAACCTATATACGTATATACACCAACAGTGTATTTTATATATTGTCGATTCAGTAGTTCCAAGCAATTGATAATCAACAGCATATTGAAATGCAGCATATTTATATATTTTTTGATAATTGAACATGTCTAATATCTGTTGATTTCATGACTTAATGTTCTTGATAATTGACGATACAGCATATTAAATGTTATTTAAGATCCTGTCGATCATTGAGGGTATGTTAAATAAGTTTAAGAAAAGTATTGCCAAAAATCAAACACATCAAATAATTCAAATAGCAACAAATATGCCACAGTGGTCAGGTTTGAAAGATGTTTGCAAAAACTATTTTTTGCTCACAAATAATTACTTTTTGATCTCTTTATGATTTATACGACATTAAACGTCTTGTATAAGGTCATGCAAGAGCCTCTAACAGGTACATCACTTACATCAGACCCTGGTCTCTTGGACCTAGGGCTGCAACCTTGGGTAAAGATCATATTAAGGTTCCCTGTGTTGCACTATGTCGCAGAAAAGCGCCTGTGCATTTCGACCCTCTATAAATCCAGCATCTGTATTGTGTTGTAAGAAAAGTGTCGAATGTGGGACCCCCTACCTCTTGACCTCCTTGGAGTCATTTGCGATGAAAAATGCCAGCGTTCCATCCTGTATCCTCACGTGGCTGCCAGGGTTGAGAAGGATGCTGGCGGAATGGCACAAAGACCGTAACGATTAGACTCCTGGGGCAAATGCTCACACAAGGGGAAGGAGCAGGTGGCAGTGATGTCAGCTGGCACCATGAATGCCCAGCTGGCTTTATCTCCCCAGGGCAGATGTCGAATCAAACTGTGCTTGACACCCATTTACATTGAGAAAACATCGGTAAGGCCCAGAGGAGACCTCGGATATCAATTTCCACTGGTGTTCTACATGGCAAGTAATAGAACTGGGGTTTCTAAGATCGTTGTACATACATGTAGCCACCGACAGTCATATACCCACCTCAGCAATACAACGTAAGTGCATACAAGTACAACAGCATTCACGTGTTTGTGTGTTCCGAGGGAAGCGCAAACCACAACACACACATTTTCAGGAGACATGCAGCACATGCAGTGAGTGAAAGGGTCACGGTTAGAGTTATTTCTTCCATATAGGCAGCGCTATCGTGGGCCAGCCTCTGTGTTCGAGTTTTGAGTTTTTGTTTACGCTGGTTGAACCTCCACGTGAATTACCAGATGTTATTTTAATTCACTTAAGTAGAAAAAAAATCACCAGAAAAGCAAAAAAAAGTAATTATTTCTCCTTTCAAAGGTGACCTCGCTAGCTGTAATCACGAAAGGAATGTTATTAAAGTCCCATTTTAGATTGGTCAATTTCCTTAACAAAGTGGTCAAACTCTGCATGAAGCCACTCACGTGTGGGCTGATTTACATCTGGACCGAGTGTGGAATACCCTCGCACATCAGGATCGCCAGTGTATGCCGGCTTTCGATGCATGGCAATGTCGGGGACATGGCGTGTGGTCAATAGGTCGTCAATAGACATAGGGATTGGTCTATTTTTGACTATGTGTTGTGATATATTTTCAAATGCTTCTACCACTATGTTGTAAGTCATCAATACAATAAAGCATTCACAAAATTGCAGGCAAAATTTGTTTTGACACTAATAATCTATTATTATATTTCCGCTCTAAGAGAGATTTTGGTAATCGTTGTTGTGAAGCCGCGCCACCCCTACCCCTGCTGATGCGCAGTGCCACCCCCTTTCACAACCCCCACCACTGCCCTGTGTCTCACTCAGATCAACTCGGCTTTAGCCCAAAGTTGCCGAGTCTCACAAGAAAAAAAAGTGGCACTGCATTTAAAAACGAGACCAAAACAAGCCCAAGCTGTGCCCGGAGGAAGGGGTGGGGCCTAAAGAGGAAGGGGTGGGGCCTAAAGAGGAAGGAGTGGGGCCTAAAGAGGAGGGGGTGGGGCCTAAAAAGGAAGGGGTGGGGCCTAAAGAGGAAGGAGTGGGGCCTAAAGAGGAAGGAGTGGGGCCTAAAGAGGAGGGGGTGGGGCCTAAAGATGAGGTGGTGGGGCCTAAAGAGAAGTGTGTGTGGCTTAAAACGGGGCAGGGAAAACACCCAAATCTGCATATTGAGAAGTGCTTCAACCATGCACTTATCTGTTAATTTCATGAACTTAATATCATTTCAGCAGGCAGAAACTATATGATGCCACAGATGCAGCCACAGGTCAATTAGTCAGAAATAATGTAAAAGCATTCATAATTCATTTTGCGCTTAGGTCAAGTAATGATCTGACCAACCCTGTGAGCACTAGAGCACTTACCTGCTGCCGTAGCTGTGCTCCGAGCGGTATTCAATAGCAATGAGCAACAGCCGCAACTTCACAAAGCACAGCCTGAAAACGACATCGAAACAAACTCATCCCTTTCACGTTTGCGTGATGCAGCAACACGCACCGGTGTCACATCACCGGTGTCACATCACCGCACGAAACATCGCTCAGCTCCAAAATCTGCTTTACGGCAGTGATCACATGCGAGCAGGAGAACACACAGGAAGTGATTGCACAAGGCTGTCTGACATCCTTCGATGGCCTATCTTACCAACGCTTCTGGTCTAGGCTCTGATGCTGTGCCGAAGCGAGTGACTCATTTTGTGCCGCATCTGCTTAATCAGTTCGCTAGGGCTATGCTTTTCCTGAGCTCCAAACCAAGTATTGTCGTGCAATTGTTAATGCACAATACATAATGAAACGCTTGGTTTATCTGTCTGCAGTCATTATTTACTGAACAGAGGCCGTTGAATTAATTTAACTTGGAAGTCTTTCTGCAAACTCAGGTTCACTCATTCACATTGATATTGCTTGAGCGTTGAAATTGCACTTTGGAATGCTTCTCTTTGTACAATAAACCAGATCTCCATTGCAAAAGGGACTTACCAGCAAAAGGGACTCTCACCTCCTGCTCGATACGGTGCTGGCTGAACGCTCTGACCCTACCATCAGGATTAGCCTCCTCCGCTTCCAAGTCACAAACGCAAACCCATGAATGGAATAACCGACGTCATGATCACAGGGAGTGGGAATACATAGTACTGTACAGTAGCACCCCTGTTAAAGACTAATCGCTTAACAACGGGCCTCCATGGAGCCCAATGTGTTGGCTTATCGACCATTCCCCTGATAACAAAGGGTTGTTGTAGGTTCAGTAAATATTAATGCATTGATTAACCATGTTTCTTTTAATATTATATGTTTATAATGTTATTAGTATCCTCATGTATTAATATCCATTGTTTAAGTATTGTAAAGTACGTTTTAGGGGTGAAAAAGGCTAACTTTCAATATTGTCAGAACGAATTACGCCTTTAACGTGTATTTCCTATACTCGCTTAATGACCAAATCACTATATTTCTACGTGACTTCACCGAAAGACCCAAGAATATGAATTCCTGCAGTCACGAAAGCTTTAAGTCAAGACCAAATCACTGAATGACAGGTTTCGTGGAACCAATAAGCAGAATTAAGAGAGGTTCTACCGTATTCGTTTTGAAATGTCGAAAGGAGGACGTGGCCATAGTGCGTTGGAGGAGTTGCACAAAGTGACCGACGGTGCTTGGAACTGGCAACAGCTGCCACGGTGACTGGAAGAAGGAATCAATGTAAGGCTGCGTAACAAGGCGGACATAGGGCGGAGTGCAGAAACTCGAGTCGGGATAAGCCTAAACATTCCAGGTAAGGTAGTTATCAGAATACTCCTAAAATAGGATGCAGAAACAGAAAAACGCTTATAGGCAAATTAGTGTGGATTTACATCAGAGAGGATGGATGGGGGAGGGCCGATTTCTGAGGCAGGCACTGCTGCCGTGGGCCTCCACGAGTCGGGCGACCAGTAGGACGTCCTAATGCCGTAAGGTGGGATGCTGTTAGTGCTGATCTGGGAGGTCGAATATCGTCCGTGTGGTAGCTGTAGGATCTGGCGAGCACTGGTGAGATGTGATGGCATCAAAGCCTTCTGTCATGTTGACATCGATCCTGGGGATGGTAGCGCAGTCGTTACTGTGCTCTTAGCTCAGCAATCAGAGTTTTAATCCTGGCCATTGATAATATAATTGGCGAGTGCAACCGGTCCTGGATTCCCCTGTACAGCGACCTGCACTGCAAACCGCAGTGAAGTATGGTCAAACAAACCGCATGACCAACATGCGACAGGGAGGCTTTCATGTAGCAGTGGATTCACAAATATATATGTCCCCACATTGGTTTGGGTCATGCGCTTGGAATATAATAATGTTTCACAACCACATTACAGAGAATGACTGACTTTGGCAATTTTCTCCACACGCTATTAGACACGAAAGGAAATGAACAATCAACTCCGTGAAAACCATGTCAGCGGCACCCGTAATAACCACCAGCAGTCTCCGCAGCACTCCGGTGTAATTACACACCAATCATAAGCCAGCCTGAATTATCACCTCCGCACATGTATGCAATATCCGTACAGCAATATATCCCCAGGTGAAACTATGAATTTCTAAGGAACACCACACATTATAATCTTGGTTCTTTCGGTAAAGTCACGTTGAAGGGAAACAATAAAACAAACATATATAAAACAATAAAATTCTCACGACGTTTCGACTGTAACACAAACAGTCATCATCACACCTGATGATGACTGTTTGTGTTACTTTACCGAAAGAACCAAGAATATGAATCACTGCAGTCACGCAAGCTTTAAATCAAAAACACCACGCATTGTTACGTTAATCATAGGCAGGCTTCCTGGATTCTAACCCTTGGCTCGAGGAGGCCTGAGCGCCCTGACATACGAGCCAGCTGGCTGCCTCAAGACAACTGTCGTGATTTATAAATGTTGTCCTCACTCAGAGACGGCAGGGAAAGACAACCCCACGAAGGCACTGGACAGGTACTCAGTGTACATCTCGTTGGAGACGCCCTCCAGGTAGAACTTCTGCCAGGTGTCCTCCTCGATCTGAGAGGCAGCGTCGTTCAGGATAAAACACACGCAGGTGGCCGAGACAGCAGGGTTAACATTCACTGGTTGTGCAGCAACACAACATGGGCAAGTCATACTGCATTCATGGCCCGGATGAGAACACTTATATGCACGGCTTTGTTCATCCAGGAAAGCTTCACTGACTCTTCTGGATATTTTTCATGGGGACCTCACATCATGATCCATAATAGAGGTTTGATTGGGTCAGATCACGTAAATATAAATGTGTCATTAAACCCGCCATCGTACGACACAGTCAATTAGTAAAGTTTGCCACGTAAACAAAACATGCCAATTCATTACTAGTTCAGCACACCGGTGTATTGGAGAGTAAACCCACAACATTTACAATTCGAGTAGGACATTTCACCGGTAATTACAACCAGCGAATGGTTGTAATTACCTATATTATGGATAATATTGGTCACAAAAGCACACACAGGAGGTATAATATAGCAGCTGACAAACATTCTGACTTTAATCAACTAAATAGGCGATGGAATAAACTGCATCTATTTATTCCCCCCCTTAGTTATTCTTCAAGACTAATACAGTTTGACTTTTGTACATTTTGTCGTCACAGATACATTCCATAGTGACCCATTCCCTGCCATATTTCAAACATTATCCTCTCTCTCTGTCTATGTGTCTCCGTGTCTGTGTTTTGTCTCTCAAATTGAGCAATCTTTGGAAGAACGTTATCACCCAGGTGGGGTGTTGACTGTTACGTTAGCCGACTCTCTGTGTTGTATTGCAATACGTTTCTAAGTTTTCTAGGTTTGTTTTCTCTTTCACTTGTACCTGATGATGATTGCTTGTGTTGCAATCGAAACGTCGTATGCCATTTGCACACAGCATTGGTGTACGGTGCTTTTTGTGGAATATTTTGCTGCTTTTTCCTGGATTCTTTGTTTGCACAGTCACATAGTCACTTTAAGATGTTTTCTTGTTCATGTTTTTGTTTTTTATACTCTTTGGTTTTATTCGGTAAAGTCACGTAGGTAAAAAATAAAACAACAAAAATCACGACGTTTCGGCCACAACACAAGCGGCCTTCATAAGGTGAAGGGACCAGACTGTCTCGAAGACAGTGCTGGAGTGAAACAGAGCCAAGCTCAGACCACGGCTTTTAAGCTGTGTTTGTTTTTGTTTGTTGCGGTTGCACCCAATTCAAGAGCCAAATGGCTGACAGGGCTATACCAAATAAATGAAACTGAAATGAAACTGAAACTGAAATGTTAAGTGATGTTTTCATATTTAAGTTTTAAAAACAAAACGGCTGCCCGCATGGGGTCAGCCAAAGAGTCGCAAGGGGGAAGCCGAGGAGCCACCGCCTGCAGCTCTTGCCCAGGACTACACTCTCTGTTATTTCTCTCTTTTGATCTCATTCTCAATGCACCGCTCGCTGTATGAGGGCATCCCCATGCCAGCCATGCCGTGTTGGTGCGTGGGGGCTGTTTACCCACATTCCACAATGCTGGTCAATGAGTGTTGGTGAAGGCAGTGGCGTCGGGGGAGGGAGGGCTGCAGCAAGTGCCGTTATCGAGAACCTATTGGAGGCCGACATATTGCACGAGGTGGTGGTGGTGGTGGTGTGGCAAGGAGAATGCACAGCCACCATTGTCTCCACGTGGCACATCCGACTAGCGTGGTTGGCTACGTACGGTGCGAAAGAAGTTCAACATACACACATACGCACCAGGTATTCTTTTAATGGCCGCTTCCACCGAGGGAAATCCCAGGATGAGTTTTCATTCCATTTGCCGCAGATACTATCCATGGCTGGGAATGGAACTTACGTTGGTGGGTTCGCGGAACAGTGCACTAGCCACTGCGACGCTGCGTCAGGCTGTTGTTTATTTCGCAAATGCGATTACGGCCACAATGCAGTTTGGTAAGAAAAGTCCGGATAAAGTTATGTTACCAATTCTATTCACTATAGTCCATCGCGTGTTTACACAGCTGCTGCTGCTAAAGTGTTTTTTGTTAACACTGGCGCTTTTAAATTATGGATAAATCTGTGGGATTTAAACATGGTCAGAATATTCTAGATATGTCACTATATTAGAATCATAATACTGTTTAACAATAAGTGGAATATTTTTTTGACGAATCTATTTACATGCGAAACGTCGTATTTCATTTACGTCACCTTTGCGGGCAATCGCTAACCAAAGTTGAACTCTTCAAAATGTTGGCACTGCCAAGTGTTTGGCCGAAAGTCAACTCCATCATGACGGACAACTCACAAGCTCACTGTGCTGCTCAACACAGGACGGGAACATAATTCACATTGACGGTTAATGTTACTGTGAACGCTGATGCTTCACGATGTGCATAGTACACAACACGGCGTTAGTATTAGCTGGAGTGCGGTGCCACATGCTTGTAGTAGGGGGGTTTGGAGTGTTGGCGGATTACACGAAGAATGCATACGAGACACCAACCTCCAGTGCTGCGAGGCACACAGTAGCTGGAAGCACAGCAAATAGGTTGCTGACCTATGTGTGGATTTAAGAATTGTACCGTTTGGAACAGGTGACTTTGTTGGTCACTCAGGTTCACTCCCAAACACAGAAATACTTAAATATTCGTCCAAATATCCCAAGCAGCACCTTCTTAAAAACAATCTTCAGATGCCATGAGACTCTCCTGGCTCATAAAAGGACGCTGCTGTGCCACTCCATTTGCGTCTATGTGAGCAAAACAGACAACGAATTACAATAAATATTGGAGGCCCATTTCCCACGATGCAATGTCAATGAGCTGTGGCTCGCATTCCCATGGGACTGGTGCCACCTCACTTCCACGGGAGTGTGCGTCACACAACAAGTTTCGAACACGCCACCTCGGAGGTCCTCATATTCCTGCGACTCAGCTGCCAGCATCGCGACTGCCCGGTCTGAACCCAAACCACGTCAAGCATCAGCGTCACAGCATCAGCGTCCAGCGCGAACGTCAGAGGGTGCAGAGAGTCTGGACACATTTAAGCGTTGTTCAAAAATCCAACTCCGCAGCGCATCTGTAACAGAGCGCAATTACATGAGGTGAGATGGGTTTCATACTCTTTGGTTTTATTCGGTAAAGTCACGTAGGTAAAATAAAAATAATAAAAGAAAACAATTAAATCACGACGTTTCGGAGGCAACACAAGCTTCCGTCTTCAGGTGGAATAGTCACAGCAGAATATCTGTGTCAGGAGCACAGTTCAAACACGTCTCAGATATTCTGCTGTGACTATTCCACGTGAAGACGGAAGCTTGTGCTGCCTCCGAAACGTCGTGATTTAATCGTTTCCTTTTATTTTGTTTTATTTTACCTACGTGACTTTACCGAATAAAACCAAAGAGTATAAATCCTTGCAGTCCCGAAAGCTTCAAATCTAGAGATGGGTTTCGTCCGTGTTACTCCTTGATTTGAATAATCTGTCTTACTGATTTATAATAGATGCTTTTATGAACACCTATTATAAATCAAACTAATACACAAAGGGCGAATTGGTTTGTTACTTCAAAGCGCATTTCTACGTTTTATACGTTCCAAGTATCGGGCATTCTCGTATATTCAATTTAACGAGGTGTGCTTTAACGACGTGCAGCGTGTTCGCCGCGCAGGCGAAGAACCGATCGCCAGCCACGGTGGTCGCGCACCTTGATGTAGGAGCGCATGGAGAAGAGGTTGGCCAGCATGGTGGAGATGCCCTGCGCGAGGCAGCTCTGTGCAATGAAGCCCAGCTTCAGCTCCGAGAGGCAGATGGCCGCGTCGCCCTCGCGCCAGCTCCAGCTCGGAATGTTCAGCAGGTGCGCCTGCACCGCGACCGCGCGCAGTTCGCGTCTAAACTATTCGTTTTAAACTGGTGGTTTTTTTATTTTGACCAGGTGAGCTATATAGCTTGCTTTTTTTTTTTTTTTCAGAAGCGACTTGGGCCACAGATGATAGCTCAACGAAGTGCCTTTATCACGTGGACATTCATAGCAGCCAAGTACTCTGAACGCGTGTTTCTGAATGTGGAGGGGGAAAACCGGAGGGCCCGGCAAAAAAATCCACGTGACTACGGTGAGATAGACGTGCAGATTCCAAATATACAGGCTTCAGGGTTGGGATGGGACCCACGACCTCTTGCATACCAGGCGAGGTAGTTAACATCTCGCCACCTCGGCTCGAACGCTGTCATCACTCTCTGGCAGCTACAGCTGATGGCGAGCTCTCAGTTTGGCAGAGGAGTTTTTATTTCTATAGTTTTTGGCAGTGCAAGAGTGTTTGTTCCGGAAAACACCGTCACGGTGGATATGTTATTGAATAAATTCGGGTCGCCTCCGCTGCTTTCGAGGTTGTTGCTCTCGTGAAACGGGAGCGTTGATTTCTCGAGGCACGGTTATGTTTCTTCCCATTGTTTCCTTTTTTGTTTCGAAAGCACAAAGATCAGCTCTCTTCTACCCTTTACTTCATCATTTTGATCTCGAGCCGCCTTCAATGACTGTCCGACGTATATATATATTTATATATACAGTATTCTATCATGTTTTACAGTTGCGACTCATGACAGATATCTGTGATTGCTTAAATATTTATCCTTGCTTGCATGCACACGTCTAAGCTTCTCAATGTAACAGGCACACAAAACAGATACTGAGATTTGAACTCCAGTTGAGGATTTATACTTTAAAAAAAAATCAGGCAAATCGCCTAACATTGATTCAGGCAGTTTAGGAACAACTCAAAAGTCAGATGGATTGCCTAAACATGATTGAAGACTGCTTGAAAATTCGGACAGTGGCAATTCAGATAATGTATGGCACTCTTTATTTGCAGCAGACACGTGATTTAAAACGCATCACTGCATTCGATTCTCAAAATAAAACTGAAGTTGTCTGTATTATTGGCATATAGCATCTCCATGACGTGGTGTAGTGCGAATGCAATTATATAATACAGTCTTCTTGCTCAGGAAACATCTTTGAACACAGGAAATATGCATATAAACACCGAATACAAGCGTCATTAATCGACAAATGCATTTCCTGCACAGCAAATCCATGCATTCATGGGGCAGAGATGGAATCTAAGATAACAATACCTTCACCCCAGCAATCTGCTGCCTTTAATATTCCCGGCAGTCAGCGTGCTATTGTCGTGAGCATCAATCCTCTGCCTCCTGCTGTTGCTGAAGAATGCCCACTGCCATCCACCTCGTTAGAGTCATTCACAAGCCTCCTTCGGGGGCCGATCCTGACGCTGCTGGTACCAGCCGTCAGCGAGTCTACTCAGCTCCAGGTTGCCTGGCACTACATCAGCCCAGCTCTTCCATAAAAAATGCGTAACCGTGCACTATTTAGACAATAAGAGCTGTGGCTCTTGGAACTTTGATATTTTACCTGAATCCTGGGAATCGTAAGCTTTGCAGTGCCATTCTTACCTTGTTGTGGTACTGGAGCATCTGAGTGATGACCCTTATTCTGGGGTGGTAGTTTTTGATGGAAATTACCCTGCAAGTAAACCAACAAAATGATTCTATTACCGATTGTGATGAATACATTAGTGGGTAGATTACTTAGCTTGACAATGCACAATTACGCGATCACTGATGGACAGGGCACGATGAACATACACAATATTGTAGAGACCTTGGGAACAAGTAATCTCAGCGAATGCCTATTAAGGCGTATGGCACATTGTGGAGTGATACAGCCAGTACTATCTATAGTAGTGAAGATTACATGTGTAATGACAGGGTGCCACCTGTAGGCCTGGAAGGGTAATCACGGGTATGGGCAAGGTTATGTAACAACTAATCAGAAAGGGGGGGGGGGCGTATCTGGGTTAAAGGTGGGGTTAGTCAGGAAGTTCCGGGAACCTGCTCAAAAGTTCTGGAAGGGGGCGTGGCCAGAGGTGGGTCCTGGCCACGCCGAGAGGTATATAAGGGGGATGGAACCGAGGGTTCAGGGTTGTTGCAGGGTCCCGGGTCCTGGCTGCGTCGCTGCTCGCCGTCATCTCTCTCCGTCGTCCGGCCGCATGGAAGATCCTCCGCACGGCTCCCATCGCCAGTCAGCTGTGTGGTTGGATGTAGGCGATGGGACTATGTAGAGAGGTCGGCTGTGTGTAGCTAAAGTAGAGACGTGTATATATATTACCCAGTGTTGTGCCCAGTGAGAGGAGACGTATATACAGTGTTTGCCCACTGACAAAGAAATGATCAATCTATAATTTTAATGGTAGGTTTATTTGAACAGTGAGAGACAGAATAACAACAAGAAAATCCAGAAAAACGCATGTCAAAAATGTTATAAATTGATTTGCATTTTAATGAGGGAAATAAGTATTTGACCCCCTCTCAATCAGAAAGATTTCTGGCTCCCAGGTGTCTTTTATAGAGGTAACGAGCTGAGATTAGGAGCACACTCTTAAAGGGAGTGCTCCTAATCTCAGCTTGTTACTTGTATAAAAGACACCTGTCCACAGAAGCAATCAATCAATCAGATTCCAAACTCTCCACCATGGCCAAGACCAAAGAGCTCTCCAAGGATGTCAGGGACAAGATTGTAGACCTACACAAGGCTGGAATGGGCTACAAGACCATTGCCAAGCAGCTTGGTGAGAAGGTGACAACAGTTGGTGCGATTATTCGAAAATGGAAGAAACACAAAAGAACTGTCAATCTCCCTCGGCCTGGGACTGCACGCAAGATCTCACCTCGTGGAGCTGCAATGATCATGAGAACGGTGAGGAATCAGCCCAGAACTACACGGGAAGATCTTGTCAATGATCTCAAGGCAGCTGGGACCATAGTCACCAAGAAAACAATTGGTAACACACTACGCCGTGAAGGACTGAAATCCTGCAGCGCCAGCAAGGTCCCCCTGCTCAAGAAAGCACATGTACATGCCCGTCTGAAGTTTGCCAATGAACATCTGAATGATTCAAAGGACAACTGGGTGAAAGTGTTGTGGTCAGATGAGACCAAAATGGAGCTCTTTGGCATCAACTCAACTCGCCGTGTTTGGAGGAGGAGGAATGCTGCCTATGACCCCAAGAACACCATCCCCACCGTCAAACATGGAGGTGGAAACATGCTTTGGGGGTGTTTTTCTGCTAAGGGGACAGGACAACTTCACCGCATCAAAGGGACGATGGACGGGCCATGTACTGTAAAATCTTGGGTGAGAACCTCCTTCCTTCAGCCAGGGCATTGGAAATGGGTCGTGGATGGGTATTCCAGCATGACAATGACCCAAAAACACACGGCCAAGGCAACAAAGGAGTGGCTCAAGAAGAAGCACATTAAGGTCCTGGAGTGGCCTAGCCAGTCTCCAGACCTTAATCCCATAGAAAATCTATGAAGGGAGCTGAAGGTTCGAGTTGCCAAACGTCAGCCTCGAAACCTTAATGACTTGGAGAAGATCTGCAAAGAGGAGTGGGACAAATCCCCTCTGAGATGTATGCAAACCTAGTGGCCCAACTACAGAAACGTCTGACTCTGTGATTGCCAACAGGGTTTTGCCACCAAGTACTAAGTCATGTTTTGCAGCGGGGTCAAATACTTATTTCCCTCATTAAAATGCAAATCAATTTATAACATTTTTGACATGCTTTTTTAAGGATTTTTGTTGTTGTTATTCTGTCTCTCACTGTTCAAATAAACCTACCATTAAAATTATAGACTGATAATTTCTTTGTCAGTGGGCAAACGTACAAAATCAGCAGGGGATCAAATACTTTTTTCCCTCACTGTATATGGGTGTGTATCGGCCTGTGTTGTGCCCAGTGTGAGAATAAATAAGAATAAGCCCTCTACACGATGCGTCTTAGAAGTTGCTCATTACACGTGCACCACAAGGTAGTCACTCTATACCTAAAAGGAACGTTCAACAAATCTGCAGACCCGATCCTGAGGGTCATAAATAAGATCAGCACTCTTTCCCTTAAGGATGGTAATGGTAGCAGCACTATAATTTTTTAAAAATTATATTAACCATTTTTCCATCCCGGTCGCACCCAGGCTATTACACATCGCGGCTCCTCTTGCCTAATCACATCGTTTAGCTCACGATCTCGAAAATTTATCGCTGTATGGGGCGCTCCGTCTTCGCAAAATGCAGCCAATGCAGCTACGTAGTAGAACCTCTTTGCGATACCACGTACAGTAACTGCTCTAATTCAATTCAAATAAAACGAGGGCCGTACATGAAAGCATTTTCGTAACAAAAATTAAACCGCGTTTTAAATGAAAGCATTTTCGTAACAAAAATTAAACCGCGTTTTAAAGAAGTGTGTTGTTCAATATTGATTTGGAGCTTTCGTGACTGCAGGAATCCTTAATCTTTGGTTCTTTTGGTAAAGTCACGTGGGTAGAAAATAAAAACAATATATCACGACGTTTCGATCGCAACACAAGCGGTCGTCTTCAGGCGGAAAAAAACAATGCTGAACCGGTTCAGACTGCTGAACCGGTTCAGCAGTTCCACTGCTGGATTGTTTTTTTCCGCCTGAGGACGACCGCTTGTGTTGCGATCGAAACGTCGTGATATATTATGTTTTTTGTTTTATTTTAATTTTTCTACCTACGTGACTTTACCGAAAGAACCAAAGAGTAAGTGTGTTGTTCTTTCACACTGTTGTTTATGATAACAAATCTCATAGTGGTTGTTTATGATAACAAATCTCATGGTGGTTGTCAACGGGGCCCACAACTCGTAGTTTGGCCACTAAAGGCGGGGGGGGGAGGCAAGGCACCCCCTGCCCCCCACGCTAGTTAAACTGCTGGACAAGTGGTGTGCACCTATTAGCCATCGAGAAAAGACGGTCACTGCATCACGCGCTTTCACATTCGTGTCTGTGGCCATCTGGAAAGCTCTTCCTTCTAATATCAGGAAGTCACTGGAGCTATGCAATTTTAAATGTCGATCGAAAACTCATTTCTTTCAAACTGCTTTTTTTGTGTTTAGTTTTGTTGTCCTTCCCCCGCACCTCCAATTAGCACGGTTGGCTAAGGAAGGTGCAAAAGGAGTTCAACGTACATACAAGGTTGGCATGGCACACGAGGAAGTGGGTGGGTAGCGCTACTCCCACCCGCCTTAGTGACCCCAATGTTGATGTTTAGACACCGCATCAGGTACTCATTTAAGGGTGGGTTGACCTCGGGGAGGCCCAGGACCAGTTCAGAAATTGGTCACCGAACACGTCAGAGATGCAGGCAACAATAGTGCTTGAAGAACATAAAATAACAATATTAAACAAAATCAGTAGGAATACTGCACCAGAACCAAGGATGCAGTAATGAATGGTCGGAGAGGAGATGGGCATGGGTGCGAGACAACTCGAAAATAACAGCGATCGTCCGTTTAGACATAACGAGGTATTGGGCACGTGTTGCCAGGAGGCACTCTTTAGGCCACCTTTGTCTCTCCTCTGATGTTGTTGACCACATGACTTAAAGCAGTAGGTTGGGAGACTCGCGCAAAAACCACGATCTCCAAGTGCTCCACAACCTCTCGTCCAAAGGGAGAGGCCGTGAGGCCACGTATGGAACCAAAGACCAACAGGGCCCAGCAGTCCCATGATGCACTGCTACCATTCCAAGTGGGCTGGAGGAGGTAGGAGGTATGGCGATCGCGGACTCCAGGATGTAGTTTTATATTCATCTAAAGAGCCTCGGCACCATACTCAACCAGAATATGGCGTTTGATCGTCTTGCAATTTTCCTATCAGGGCTCTATGACACATTCGGCCACTATTTAGTCATGACATAGCCAACACGGTGGCATGTAGCACAGTATCGACAAGGATCCATGATTGCAACTCACTACTCTACGGGACTTCTGGCAAAAACTGCAGCGTGCACAAATTTATCTGGCACGTGTTCGTGACGGGTACTGCAAGATCCGAACGTGTCCGTCCAGTGCTCTGCTGAGCTGCATTGGCTTCTGGCTGCCGAACTATATTACAAGGTCACGCTCATTACACACAAAGTTCTTGCCACAAATGAACCACAACACCTTGCTGATCTCGTCAAGGAGCATAAACCATCACGTGAACTCCGGTCATCCTCGCAGCGACTTTTGGCTGCTGGCCATCGAACAAAGACGGTCACTGCGTTGTGGCCTTTCAGATGCGATTCTGTGGCCGTCTGGAACGCTCTTCCTTCAGATGTCAGGAAGCCACTTGAGCTTTGCACTTTCAAGTAATCTCGTTTGAAAACTAATTTCTTTCGAACTGCTTTTTTGGGTTTAGTTTGTCGTCCTTCTCCTGCACCTACGATTACCACAGTTGGCTACGTACTGTGCGAAAGAAGTTCAACATACACACATACGTACATTCCCCATGACGCTCCGTGCTCTGTGAGAGGCCCACCTCATGATGTTCGAAGCATCCTCAGCATCAGGATCTGGGCAGTACTTATTCGCGATGATCATGCAGGCATCCGCTGCCTCTATCTGTGCAAAGAACAAGAGCGACAAAAACCGTCAAAATGCAATAACGTGATATCGTCATCATCAAAATCACAAGTAACATTCTTTACGTAGCAAATTGTACGACCAAGTCTCACAGTGGGCTAACCAAGTGGGCTGGAGGAGGTAGGACCAGAAGGTGGAATAATTGCCAAACACACACACAACACAACCACACCACCGAAAATAGATACATTTGAGTAAATTTGAATTTTGAAGTGAAATTTTGGCAAACATGCTATTTTAGCAAATCATGTCACAGGGAATGAGTGTCTGTTTAATAGCACACTTTATGAGCAATCAAGATCAAGAGGAAATTATGTTGCTGTCAGTCCAACATTTCGTATGGTATAGACCTCAGCTGGAGCAAAGCTTGCTCTGACAGTGTCCCAACACGTGAGCTACTGCCTATCAAGACTTCTCTCACAAAAATGTAACTTTAAAGTTAAAACACGTCCATGTTGTTAATATTAAAAGATCCCACGGTCGTTTTTTTTAATTAGGAGCAGGGGCATTAATTGACAATGGTATCCCAGTTATAATCACACAACAGATCAATAACATATATCGTTTGAGCACAATTTCCCCCTCAAGTGGACAATCAAACATTCTTAAAATCAGTTCTTCTCTTGCGAGTGGGTTGATGTTAGTTGCTGTGAAACTAACGCAAGCACCCCAGTGGATCAATCCTGCGTACAGCCGTTACAAGTAAATACAACCAGAAAATCAATCCGTTGCTGCAGTATAGTGATTTAACAGTGATTTTGCCTATGCCGTGCCACAACATACGTACGCACACGCTAATACAATTGCTATATTCTCTAAATTACTTTTAACATTGCAATTTCGGAATGTAAAATGAGTTTAATAATGCTCGTTTTAAATCCATTCCCTTGCATTATTCATGAACGCAAGGCAATATCACCTCTCGTGGCCTCAGTTAGCTGAGTAATGAATATTAACTTAGTGCAATGCATTGGGGGTTCTACTGTTGAGCAACTCCTTGGCTTCCTCATCATCATTGAACATGAAGTCCCTCATCACACCTATCTGCACAGAGGGTAGCAGAGGTGAGCACATGCCTCGCTCTAATTTGAAGGTCAGGATGGTGGCTACAATGGGCTACTGTGGTACAGAATGATGTGGAGCTGAGTGGACTTGCCATTGACTGGTACCAGCAGTGTCACGATCTGCCTCTGTGGATGAGGCTCGTGAAGAACACTACTGGGCAGTTGGTGGCAGTCGCCCTCCAACAACAGCAGAGGGTGGAGGGAGCAACACTCACAACAACGAGCGGAGTGCTGGGCGGATAAATCACAGCAAGGTGGCACAGCAGGGGGCACAGTTGGTGCATTTGCCACTCTCTCCAGTCATTCAACCCATAACATCTGGGTCTGCCCGTCCTGCCAGCGAACCTTCAACACTTCACATGGCCTCAAAGTGTGCCTCGCGTGCCACAAGCGTCATGGTGACGTCACCGCCACTTGGTGGTCAACGACGGTTGTCGTTATTGTTGTTGTTGATGGTGGCTCCGGGAGCTAATCCTGCATCAGAGAGCCGAGATTTTGGGTTTGAATCCAGGTATCGTCTATTCGTGATTCATCTGGATTCTCACATACAGCGAGGTGATGCCTCAGGTAACAGTGGTGGAATTGGAAGAAAAAAAACATGAAATGTGGGATTTCACTTTGTTCCAGTTCAGAGAATAAAAAAAACCCTCAGGTTTGATTGACATACAAATAATGAAGTCAGTTTAAAAAAAGCACCTTTCAAATGAGTAATCTTAAAGCTGTAAACAGCTATAAAAAATTATGTTAACATAAAACACTGACATACTGTACCAGTAAAAACCCAATCAGAACACAATGGAAACCAAAGACAAAATAGAAACATAGGCAAATTAATAACGGTGGAACCCAGAGAAGCGACTATAAAAACGGGTTAAAATATCAATCAAAATCTCTATTAAATTAAATCAACGGGCTGAAAAAGCCATTCACTGATAACACTCTTTGCAGGGCATATATATAAAAAAAATATGGCCCTCATGTTGGAAAAGGATGCTTCTTAAAGCAGCGATGTTATCCTCCAGGGCCGAGTTGAACCAGGGCCATTCATAGACACTCCAGGGCCGAGTTGAACCAGGGCCATTCATAGACACAGGGTGGTGCACTCTCCTCTGCAAGTGAAAACACATTTTTGTGACGATAGGTCTCCAAGTGCATGATTGGAATATATTTGAAAGAAGAGAAGAGACAGAATTGTGTAAGGCACTGCAATGTGAAGATCTACGTGGCTTAGCAGGGCAGTGGAGCGCCGTGTTGAATTCCATGGCTGTTCCTGTGATAAACTAAAACTATTTTTTTATTTTACCAGATAGGGCCCACTGAACTATGTACTGTAGCTCATCTTTAGAAGCGACCTGGCCACAAATGATAGCTCAACGAAGTGGCTTTTCATATGGAAATGTATAACAGCCAAATACTCTTAAACGCATGTTGATTCTAAATGTGGAGGGGAAAACCGGAGAGAAATATCCACACGACCATGGGGAGAGAGACATGCAAACTCCAAATATACAGACATCAGGGTCAGGATCAACTAACGACCTCCTGTATATCAGGTGAGGTAGATAACATCTCGCTAGCGTGATCTTGGGTATGATCCAGAGCTTTTTCAAACCAAGATGCGGTGTTACATGGCTGAAGAACATGTTACCCCGTAAGGGAAGGGATGTCGTATAAGTGAGTGCGGTAATTATGATGCTGGTGTGTGTGTGTGCTGCGTGTAGTGGGGAGCGGTAGTGTAGTGAACCTAGATACCCAAGTTCGATTCCCGCTCATGGCCAACACTAGTGACGATTATCTGAACTGGTCCTGAGCCTCCCCTGTGTCGACTCAGCCTCAAATAAGTACCTGGAAGTGCATATAAAAACATTGCAACTAGGACGACAAAGGCGGCCGGGCGTGGTGCTGGCCACCCACCCGTTCATGTGCCGTGCCAGCCTTCATAGGTGCTCGCTAACAGCACTTGCCCCAACAGTCTACTAAGGCTATACAGGGAATCTTTGTCTTTGAGTGTGCAGTAAGTTGGCACAGTAAAGGGCACAGCTGGTGCGTCTGCCAGTCATCTCAGTCGGTCAACCCATGGCACCTGTGGCTGTCCCGTGACCTCCTGCCAGCAGCGAACCTTCGACACTTCACGTGGCCTCACAGTGCACCCGGCCTGGCACAGGTGACGTGGTGATGTCGCCGCCGCTTAGTGGCTACTGCCGGTCGTTGTTGCTGTTGTTGGTGAGTGTGCTGCTGCTGCTGCTGCTGCTGCCGCCCACGGCCTCACCTTGACACGCGCCAGGTCGAGTGGGTTGAGCACCGAGCCCTGGTAGAACTCCACCTGAGTGAAGTGTCTGCGGAACAGCGCCTCCAGCTCCAGGTTCGGGGATATGCTGTGGCACAAGGGCGGCGGAGGGGTTGGTAGGGCGGGGGTGGGGGGGGGTGAGTTCCGTGTCATTGGCCTGAAGGATCGTGGTCCTCTCCAACTTCTGCGACCCCCCCCGTGACCTCGCTAAGGAGCGCACGGACAAGCAGGCCCTGCCCGCACGTGTGCATGTACACGCTGCAGCGCGCACGGCACCTGCATGCCAAGCCTGCCGGGGCCTGCGCCTTGCGAACACCGTGGCTGCCGCGGCCAATCTATGCACTTACGGCAGGAGCAGCACAGTACGTCTCTGCCACTTAACGAGGGGGGTGGCCCTCCGTAAATTGGTGATGCATCGCGGTGGCAAAGCTATCCGGGACCCTGCTGGGTAACGATAATAAACGAGGAGTGCATTTAGGAACGCGCCGCTCAGCTCTTGAGGCCGCGTTAAGCACCAGGAACGTCGGCCAGTGTGTCTCCGGCAAGGAAACAGGGAGGGATTCTATAAATCAGCACCAAATTGCACGAGCAAACATGCCCAGCTCCAGGAGGGTTTGGGTAACAGGATTAATTATTCCTGTTAAGACCAAAGCCCCACATGCCACCACATTCGTGTCACCTACTCACGACACTGTTCATCGTCCATAAAGGGGATTGGATTCAGGGATACCGTACACTGCAGTGAGAGGACATTTCAGGTAGTGACGTCTTGCTTCAGTTAGTCGTGAATGTGGGTGCCACGGTGGCGAGATGTTAACTAACCTGCCTGGTATACAGGAGGTCGTTGGTTCAATCTCTACCAGATGCATGCTGTATATTTGGAGTTTGCATATTCCCCCCGTGGTCACGTGGGTTTTTCTCCGGGTCCTCCGGTTTTTCCTTCCACATAAAGAAACAGGCCTTGAGAGTATTTGGCTGCAATGCATTTCCACATGATAAGCCGCTTTGTTGAGCTATCACTTCTGGCCAAATCGCGTCTGAAAAAGAGCTACATAGCTCAGTGGGCCTTACCTGATAAAATATATATTTTAAAAAATTGTTCGGAATGCGCAGGCAAACGAAACGTGCAAAGTGACATTTCACATTTTTTTTCCCCCTAAAAAGTATCACTTACTTTTCCCACAAAGCTCAGGTACTGAAATTATACAACAGTTACATTTCAAAAGCACAACATGCCCTGGAGAGCCATTAACCAGGTTCAACCGTTCTCGCTCCACACCGCGCCATCGCTGTCCGTGCAGGTGACGCCGTGGACTGTCCCACGCCCACAGTTGCCTCAGCCCATCGTCATCGCTCGGGTCAAGGAGATGAGCACCGTTGTTGTGAGAATTCTAAAAGCGGCCCCCGTCACAGGGATGACGAATTTCCACCGCTGGCTCAGGAGGGACATTGCTGGAGACGAGCTGGTTTAAGCTGGATACACTCTGACTCGACTTAACGCTTACAGTAATCCAAACCTGCAAAGAAGCCGAACGTGGAAGTTTCCTTAAGCCACCAAAAGGCCACTGGATCTCCGGGCGAGCTTGAGGAGCCTACAATGGTTAACTCAATTTCTTTGCCTCGCTTGGCTGAGAGAGCTCGTTGCCTTACAGCACAGGGGCATATTTCTTCTCAAGCCGTCATGAGCCTATATGGATTTTAGTGATTAATACATCACAACGGCAACCCTACTCCCCTTTCTCCAAAATAAGACCGTAAATTGTATAATTTATTTTTTGTATAAAAGTGGTCGACTTGTAAAAAAAAACATAGAAATAATTCTGGTGATCGGGTAGCAAGCAATTTCACTACTGCAGTAAAAAAAAACCTTATCATGTCGAGGCACGAGAAAGGTCCACACGAAGAGAGAGTGCGGAACTCCGAGAGAAGAAAATTGCTCGTAGTGTTGGTCAGATTAGTGCGTGTGCAATTTTCCACGGTCAATTCTCCGGCACTGATAAGAGCATCTTTATTTTTTTTAATCCCTTTGCAACAGTAGAGCAATGCTTGCATTATAGACATTATTTACCATAAAAGGTCCCTTCCCAAAGAATATTAATAATATATTCTAACCGTGAAGGCACACTTGGATGCAATATGTGACACCCACAGATGTGCAAATGTATCCAGTACATATATAGTTATGTATGATGCATTACCGTATGCTGTAAAAAAAAATAAAGCACAGACTTGCAATTGCTTGCTCACAGCATTATTGGTATAAAAAAAAGCCTCCACTTAGAGGGTGCTCTAAAGAGCCCCCCCCCTCTAGAGGGTAATTGGCCTACTCTTCCACACTGGCCAATGCGATCTGCTAACTGTGGGGCACCTATTCTTGGTCTTTCGGTAAAGTCACCACGTAGAAGGGAAACAATAAAATAACGGTGGCTTTCAGACCGCATCCATCATATTCGTCTCCCCCCTCCTCTTTTCCGAACATAGATGGACTAGTCCATCTGAACAAACTGTCAAATCGCTCTCCGTGGTGCTAACGTTAAAAAAACCCGCCACTTTTTTCTAATTTTCTTGTTGTGGTTTTCACACCTGATGATGATTGCTTGAGTTGCAGTCGAAACGTCGTGAGAATTTTATTGCTTTATATTTTTATTATTTTATTGTTTCCCTTCTACGTGGTGACTTTACCGAAAGAACCAAGAATATGAATCCCTGCAGTCACGAAAGCTTTAAATCAACATTTGTGGCGCACCTGTTTATATTTGCTGTGTGGACAGAGGAAATTCAAGAAACCTGTCCATTGCTTCAACCGCCGCGCCGGAAAGGAAAAATCGAACCCAGCGACCTCTGGATTGCAAGTACAGTGTGCCAACCACTGCACCACGGCAGAGTAAATTGTGCACGGAAAGATAGCTTTGTTAGATAGATAGTTTTTTTTGCTCAGGATAGATAGCTTTGTTGCTCAAGTAAATATGTTGTGGTGCTCATTTCCAGTCGCAATTCTGACTGCATTGTAGGGAATTCCAGATTTGCAGAGGGGGGGGGGGGGAACTGGGATCTCACACGTCAACCGCTGCGGACTTCCCACGCGAACACTGAACGATTCACAGATTAAAATCTGCTGTCACGCTCACAATGCACACGCGTCCAATCGCGTGTGTAAGAATCAACTGTTTACGAGTCACGCAAACCGTGCACAGATATTACTATTCGGCGGAATGGATACACAAGAAGAGACGGAAATAATGAGACGAACGATACGAAGGAGACAGTGCATACAAGATGTAAAAAAACAATAATATTAACAATAAATGTACTCAAATATGGTGGGAAGGTCAGGTGAGGTCAACTTCCAATCGAGCAAGGCAACTGCATCTGGCAGTTAACCAATGATTTTGCAGATTAGATGTACTAATGTCTGTTATGGCCATTGTTCACAATTGCAGCTAATATATATTTTTTTACTGATTCCACACTAAAAATGATGCTACATGACTGATGATTAATGATGATTGATGATGGTCTGAGTTGACTCTGGACAAGAATTTCAACCCACAGCCTCACATCCGAGAGTCGTGCTACTCTACTGAGTGAGAGGCATTTCAGCCAGTATAAATGGGACTGGTAAAGGTCAGGGGGAAGCTTACAGTGACACATCAGGGAGACAGACTTACATTGCTGAGTAGTGACAGCTGTTACATCGCAGCTGGTGTTAACAAATTGAGTGTCCTTTGGTTTGCTTAACTTGGATGCACAAGAAATCACATTTCATCAAATTCAATCCTAGTGAGATGGTGCTTCCTGTGGTAAAACTATAAATGATATATATATAAATAGCTTTACCCATTTCTCTCCATTTTGCAATTCACATTTGCTCTCAATAAAATAGCCAAAATCTGTCATGCTGGTTTGTCATATCATAAAAGCACTAAAGTCCCAACCACCCTCCTTGGATCGCACTGCTACTGTCATCGTCCCAGAATCTCACCCCGATCCGGAAGAACGCTGATGAGCAGAATGGAACAACAGTGCACGTCCAGAATAAACGCCTCATCCGAGACGCAAAAACATCGCACCGCCAGACTTTGACATTCTCCGAAGACACCGGTGGTGTAACCATCGACCGCACCAGAAGATCAACAGAGTCCCTGTAGGTGGGCACCGACCACGTTGTTCTCCCCATTCCTAGACTTTGTACAAGCGCTTGAAGGCTCCCCCTTCTCCTCGCGGTTTTTCTGCCCCCCCCTCTTCTGGAAATCCCCGGCACGTTGTACCGGACTCGTGTGTAATACCTCAATTTTTTTTTTTAAACTGTATAGGGACTCCTCTAATGTTGGTTACAGAGGTCTGTTCGTAAGTAGATTTGTTCGTAAGTCCAACTTTACTCAGATTACAAACATGTTGTGCGGCATGTACACTAAACACGGAGAATGGCGTTAAAAGTTGTATAATCTCCTGTAGATGTAGATTTCACTGGTTTTTCATGTTCTGCAGATGTAGATGCCACTGGTTCTTCATGTTCTACAGATGTAGATGCCACTGGTTATTCATGTTCTACAGATGTAGATGCCACTGGTTCTTCATGTTCTACAGATGTAGATGCCACTGGTTCTTCATGTTCTACAGATGTAGAAGCCACTGGCTCTTCATGTTCTACAGATCTAGATGCCACTGGTTCTTCATGTTCTACAGATCTAGATGCCACTGGTCCTTCATGTTCTACAGATGTAGATGCCACTGGTTCTTCACGTTCTACAGATGTAGATGCCACTGGTTCTTCATGTTCTACAGATGTAGATGCCACTGGTTTTTCATGTTCTACAGATGTAGATGCCACTGGTTCTTCATGTTCTACCGATGTAGGTGCCACTGGTTCTTCATATTCTGCAGATGTAGATGCCACTGGTTCTTCGTGTTCTACAGATGTAGATGCCACTGGTTCTTCATGTTCTACAGATGTAGGTGCCACTGGTTCTTCATGTTCTACAGATGTAGGTGCCACTGGTTTTTCATGTTCTACAGATGTAGATGCCACTGGTTCTTCATGTTCTACAGATGTAGATGCCACTAGTTCTTCATGTTCTACAGATATAGGTGCCACTGGTTCTTCATGTTCTACAGATGTAGATGCCACTGGTTCTTCATGTTCTACAGATGTAGATGCCACTTGTTCTTCATGTTCTGCAGATGTAGATGCCACTGCTTCTTCACGTTCTGCAGATGTAAATGCCACTGGTTCTTCATATTCTGCAGATGTTGAACTTATGACTCTCGGTCTCAACAGGCAAATGGACATACGGATAGGTTTGTTCATGTCCCTGAAAGTTCGTAAGTCGAATTTTTGTACGTAGAGGAGTTCTTGTATAGATTTTTAAAAAGAAAAAACGTGCCGATGCACACATCTCCTTCATAGATGGAAAATTAAAGATATATGCCACAGTGTTGCGACTGTGGTCATCTAACCCAAAGTATGGACTATAATGTAAACCACTATACTACCTCGCCTTATATACAGCAAGTTGTGGTTTCGATCCCGACCCAGACACCTGTATATTTGGAGTTTGAGTGTCTCTCTACCCCGTGATCGCGTCTATTTTTCTCCGGGTCCTCCAGTTTTTCCCTCCACATTTAGAATCAACATGCGTTTAGAGTATTTTGGCTGCTATAAATTTCCACATCATAAGTCACTTCATTGAGCTATCATTTGTGGCCCGGTCGCTTATGAAAAAGAGTTATATATCTCAGTGGGGCTTACTTGGTGAAATAAAAATAGTTAAATAGTTTATGTTTTCCCTTGTTCTGCGTGAATTTCCTCCATGTCCTCTGGTTTCCTCCTATAGCTTTCCCGGGCTATCGCAAAAAAAAAATCTCAATGCTGCTTAATGCCCTGAAAGTTACTCAACCTGGATTATGCACAGCAGCAGCAACATCACCAACGCTTGGCAGGACCCCTCTGAAAACGAGGTCTGTGAGGCTGAGTGAGGCTTCTCTGGGTACAAGAGCTATATATCTCAGTAGGCCTTACCTGATAAAATGTTTCAAAAAAGTGTAAAATAGTTAATGTGATTGCGTATCCGCGGGCTGCTAAAACTTCGATTCCAATGCAGCGGCGTTGGCTTTCCGCCTTCAGGATGGGCATCTCCTGCATGTGCCAAGTGGCCACCTCAATCTCCCATGTGTTTTTTTCTGGAGCGGAGGGCACCAGGGAAGATGCGAGTGGATGGAGGCAGTCGCTGGCGAGTGGTTTGCCAAGGCGGCGGGGTCTCCCGAAGCAACGCGACCACCTCCCAATTGTTTAACTTCCGCGCGTTAATTGATTGTGGGGGCCCAAACACAGATCGTTCAGGGTGGGATTAAGGATGCAGAGCTCAAACGGATTGGAGAGCCAACTCTTAAAGTTTAGACAAACACTGGCCTGGTAAAAAATTAGACTATTCAAATAAAGTAACGTTTGAAAACTAGCAATTACGTATTTAAGATAAAAAAAGAATAACTTTGTTCTCCATACTACTGACGGAGCAATTATGCACAATTCTCCACTTAAACTTGTTGGCACTGTTATTGGCAAGTCTGCTGTTTAATAACGGATCGCCCTGCCTGAATGCTCCCATCTTGTTCAGGGTTGTAGCCATACGTTATTAATACCCCCAGAGTGGCTATGTTCGCCCACGCTGGAGTCTCATTATTTCGCAGACGACTTGTCAAACGTCTGTGCTCTGATTTTGGAGTTCGACGAGTCTGGTGTGATTCGACCAAGTTGTTTATTTCGCATCTAAGAATGAGCACTTTTCTTTCGATTTGTTAGAATGTTACTTTCTGCGAGTTATACAGAATCGTGTATTCGCGCTTGATATCTCCAATGAGAAGTTATAAAAAAAAACATCCACATTGAACCCTTAGTTTATCTGAATTCCAGCTATAACAATTAGAACTACAGTATACCCTCGCTATCCGCGAGTTCTGGATTCGGGAGTTTCGCATATTCGCGAGCTCCTAAATGAATACTAATTCCCTATCTCCCGACCCGCCTGACTCCCGTATTCGTGAGTGTACATAGTCCCAGACCAGTAACAGCGGGGAGATGCGCGCAGAATTGTGTTACATTTGAAACTGTCTGCGAAGATTAGGCCCCACCACCTTGGCTGCCCGCTTTGACCTCAGGCTCACAGTAATCCCGCTCTGAACTCGCTATTGTGCATTTGTTACTTTATACGCAACTTACAGTCAACTCGTTTATATATTTTGCCATAAACGAGTCGACTGTGAGATCCATTAAAAATAACGCGAAATGCAATGTCGTCAAATCATCATCAACAATAATTCAAAAACACATTGCTCTTCATAATTTATTCTTTACTTATTGTGGTCATTGTTATTAAACATTTACCATTTACCACCCCCCCCCCCCATGTTCACCCATACCAAGAAGGCAACCCCAATGTTTCCCCATTGGAACGAGGTTTCTGCATTCGCGAGCATTGTGGGGAGCGTGACCCTCGCGGACAGAGAGGATCTTTAATGTATTTGCGTGACTGTCATGAAACACAAGATCTCATAGGCAGAGTGCGTGGAGAAGCATGGCCCCCCTACTGTGTAAAGGTTTAACAAGGTCACTGGAAGGATCTGTATGGAAGAAGTCCTCATGAGTTAAGCTCCACTTCTTCTGCATGCATTGCTCCATGACGCATCTCATAGCGCGACGCCGAAACCGCGATCGCAATACATTGTTTGAGAAATAAAAGAAAAATTGGTGATTTCGTTTAATTTGGTCGTACGCTAAATGTCCGCGACAGTGAGGTGCACGCTTCTCCATAGACTGTGCTCGGAGAGCACAGTCTATGGAGAAGATAAATGAAGACTGTAAAATACATTGGCAGAAGTCTGTGATGTTTATTCTGAAGAATGGTTGTGTGCTCTGTTGCCTTTGGACAGAAGACAGCTTTTTATCCGTAACTGGCTCTATGATTTATGGGAAGTAGGATGCTCACTAGAGGTCGCTGGGTAACTATGGGTTCAAAACAAGGCAGCCGATTGTCTTTGAACCAGGTGATAAATTGTCACGGCCTGTTCACTAACGAGTGCGCGAAAACATCCTTTAATTTGGTTATTAATTTATGCAACCTATGCATCGGACTTCTAACTGTGAGCCAATCGCTTTGGAGCATGAAGCACTGCCTGGTGTTTAGAGGCCAATCGAAGTGACGGCAGAGGAAGTTCCGTGGTTGTCACCTGGCGGGCGTTGTGTCCCTGCATGTACGAGATGCTCACATCGCAGGGAGCTATGCAAGGCTGTCTCCCCACTCCCGAATTATATATATATTATTTTATTGTTCCCTTCTACGTGACTTTACCGAAATAACCAAGAATATGCCTTTAGAGTATCTGGCTGTTGTCAATTTCCTCGTGATAAGCCACTTTGTAGAGCTATCATTTGTGGCCAGGTCGCTTCTGAAAAAGAGCTGCATAGCTCAGTGGGCGTTATCTGGTGAAATAAAAATAGTTTAGTTTAGTTTACGAGGGAGGCAGTGAGGTGAAGAATGCCGAATATTTTTTTTAAGAAAACGCACAATTCATATTTCACACCCTCGTAAAACTTTAGGGCGTATTGATGTTTAGTTTGTTCTTTACAGAGATCCTACACACACGAATACAGTTTAACGTGGTTTGGTCTGAAATAAAATAAATAAATAACTGGGTGTTTTGGTCAACTGGGGTTTTGCTTTTTTTACGTAAAAAATGCAGAACCCCAGTTTTTACATAAATAAAAAATCTTTTTCCTTTATATAAAGGGAATAATGTAAAACGTATGGTGATGTTGGTCCCTGTCTGCCAGGCTTAAACCAAATGTCATTATCAAAGAGTCTCTCGCTGCTCAAATAAAACATTGGGCAGTGCTCATCCTCACCAGTAGACCTGGAAAATTGATTTCAAAACCGCAATATAATGGCAGGGACCAGTCTCTCCTAAGGATTAGCTACTGTTGACTTCCCACACAGCGCGATGCACTCTTCATCTTATTCTGGAGGAGGCGTGAAGGGCTGAGACAAACCCTGACTGGGATTTAAATGCGCACTTACTGCGCCGGCCATCAAGACACGCGGGCGATGGCGCACGCTTGTGATCCATCACTGTGGGGGGAGTGGTGGGGGGGTTGGCGAGGGTTTGCGGATAGCACAGAGTTTGATCGACTCCCTTCCGGTGGGTCTCAAGGTGTCAATACCCTGACTTGCCAGAAGGCGGCAGTACAGCAAAAGAAATGTGGACTCCCCCACCTGTTCCGTTTGTGTGGAATGTCGCCTCCCGTTCGCTAATGAACGTGGGATTTCCCCGCCTTAATATAGAGAGGAACGCAGAACCTGGGCAATTTTTGTTTGGCACCGGCTCATCGCGTGGCCGTCTCCCCGCTTGTCTGAGACCTTATCTCTCTCTCTCTGGACGAGAGGGAGCTCAATACCGTGCAGAGCGTCCCCAGATGAAATTATAACAAGAGCTAAAGCCAGAATGTATCCACTGGGGGGTTGTTGGGGGGGGGGAGGTGTAGCAACCAATCAAGCGACTTCCCTCCTCCCGACAAAAGCCACCCTTTCTTTGGCCGCATCACTGCTTGGGAGACACGCACGGACACCATACCTGTCAACCCATATACGGTTTAGCCGTATTCTTGTACAGGGAAATTGAGTTTTCAGGTCCATACGGCGTACAGACGTTTCAATATGGGCAAATGTTTTTGTCTATTTGTGTTTCTCCCTTGTGATGGGATTTTGTAGGAGGAACGTTGATATTTTTTAAGGGCACGGGGTGACCAATAAGGTCTGAATTTGTCTGTAATAAGGTAGGGCACTGATAAGGGGTTGACAGGCATGGGAAACCAACACGCACGAGGTCACAGCGGCTGCCACTGCTGCTGTTTAATGCACGAGGAGGGCACGGGAGAGGAAGTGGGAGGGGGGGTAGAAGGGGTGACGGGGGGGGATCGGCGGCGTTGCTCACCTGTGCAGAAAGAGGATCTCCACGTTGACGTCATCGCGGTCCTTGTGCAGGAAGTCCTTCAGGAAGTTGGAGACGCTCTCCAGCGTGATGTGTCCACACACCACCACGTGCCTGCACGACAAAGACAAGAGAACCCCCGTATAGCATGAACAGACTGTTGCGGCAAGTTGCTGTGAAGCGAGCACCTACGAAGGCCGGCACGGTACACGAGGGGGTGGGTGGCCAGCACCACGCCCGGCTGCCTTTGTCTCCCCAGTGGCGGTGTTTGCACACCGCACCAGGTACACATTTGAGGCTGTGTCGACCTAGGGGAGGCCCAGGAACAGTTCAGATAAATCGTCACTGGTGTTAGCCGCGAGCGGGAATCAATCTCGGATCGCCAGGTTCATAGCGCAGCGCGCTAACTGTTGCACTATCGCTCTCCGTTTGCAGCAACACCAAACACACACTGATATTAACATCATGAATGGAACACCCTTACGTGTGCATATGCGGCACAGAGGTATACATAATCTCATGCCCATCCTCGTACATGGAGAGATACACGTACTAGGATGTGCACATGCAGTCAGCATGTACACACACACACAGTTAAAAACACACTCCTTGTATAGCCTTAACAGTCTGTTGGGGCAAGTGCAGTTAGTGAACACCAATCAAGCCCGGCACGGCACACAAGGGGGTGGGGAGCCGTCACCACGCCCGGCCTCCTTTGCCTCCCTAATTGCAATGTTTACACACCGCACCAGGTACTCATTTGAGGCTGAGCTGACCTAGGGGGGGGGGGTGGGCTAGGACCGGTTCAGATAATCGTCACTGGTGTTGGCCATTAGCAGGATTCGAACCCGGCTCACCGGGTTCGTAGAGTAGCGCTGTTCTACCACTCCCCTATACCACTGCTGTTGCTCGTGCCCACACACACGTGCACACACACACACACGTGCCCACACACAAGTGCACACACACACGTGCCCACACACACGTGCACACACACGTGCCCACACACACGTACGCACACACACACACGTGCCCACACACACGTGCACACACACACACACGTGCCCACACACACGTGCACACACACGTGCACACACACACGTGCCCACACACACGTGCACACACACACGTGCCCACACACACGTGCACACACACACACACGTACCCACACACACGTGCCCACACACACACGTGCACACACACATACACGTGCCCACACACACGTGCACACACACACACGTGCCCACACACACGTGCACACACACACGTGCCCACACACACGTGCACACACACACACACACACGTGCCCACACACACGTGCCCACACACACACGTGCACACACACACACGTGCCCACACACACGTGCACACACACACACGTGCGTACACACACGTACACACACACGTGCCCACACACCAACACACACGCGAGCACACGCACAACGAGAAACACACAGTGAGCGGGCAAAGCCGCACGGTGGTTATTTGAGCTGTCACGGGAATATAAATTGTCCATCACGTCGTGAATGCTTGAGGAATACAGAATCGTGCTCGCGTACAGGCGCGGCTCGAGAGAGTTAGAACTCTGGCTAAACGTCGCCACCGCATCATTGCGGCCTTCGCCAATTAATATCGACGGTGCTATTCGTATTGACACCGAGAAAATAATATTGTTTCCAATAATTGCCGAAATCACACGGCGGAACGACTCAAAAAGGCATTCTTACTGTGACTCAGCCCTGTGTGCCCGGAGGCGCTTCGCTCAGCCTCACAGATGTCTTTTGCAGGAGCGTCCTGCCAAGCGTTGGTGATGTTGCTGCTGCTGCTGCGTTATCCCGGTTAAGTAACTTGCAGGTGGTTTTGCAGCATTGAGATGTTTGGCCAATACCAGTTACATTTAATGTTTTTGTTGTTGTTGCAATAACCTAGGCAGGCTATGGGAGGACCAGCGAACTCGGACGAAACTCACGCAGAACAGGGGGATAACATAAACTATTTAACTACTCTTTTTATTTGACCAGGTAAGGCCCACTGAGGTCTAAAGATATTTTTTCAGAAGCGACCTGGCCACAAATGATAGCTCAATGGAATGGCTTATCACGTGGAAATTTATAGCAGCCAAATACTCTAAACGGGCGTTTCTAAAATGTGGAGGGGATAACCGGAGGACCCGGACAAAAATCCACGCGACCACGGGGATAACATGCAAACTCCAATTATACAAGCGTCAGGATCAGGATCGAACACACAACCTCCTGTATACCAGGCGAGGTAGTTAACATCGAAACTCCCACACAGAAAGGCATCCGAGTCAGGAATCGAACCCAGGTTCTTCTTTCTGAGACACGAGTGTAAGCATCGAGCCGCCCTGGGGCCCATGCTTTCCTGGCAGGTATTTCACCTCGGATCCTTCAATCATCAATCTTGCTATGCAGTGTTTATATTGAGCTCTTGTCACGGCACACACCACTGTTACGTAACAGAATATGCCAACACATCCATCAATAATCCTGCCTTGAGAGGGAACACACATAATAGGCGACGTTTCGTAGCTCATAGATGGACCTTTATCCGAATGTTTGCCTATTAAACAATTTTCCTTTTAAGACTGTTATGACAAGTGTGCTGTGTTGTTATATTTTTGCTAATGCACCGCTGCCAATGCAGCAGTACCGTCACCAAACACATTGTTTAAGGCTGCTGAGCAGCACACTGTGCGCTGCTGGCATGCTGTGCAAGCCGCCAGAGCTGTGAAGGCTGATTTGAAGAGCGAAACTAACAGACGCTTGCCATCTACTGCTAATTGGGCCGTAATCATCGAATAACTGCACTTAAGAATGTGTTCTAATATCCGATCAAGGGCCATGATGCTCCGTGTGGTGCCCATTAGCTTAGCGTAGCTTCAACGAGGAGAGCACAATCTTTAGCGGTGGATCCAATCCTCCACCCCCCATGCAACGCAATGTCACCATGCACAGTCAAAAAGATATGTTTGACTCCTTGGTTGTTTCGGTAAAGTCACGTAGAAAGAAATTAAATTAAATAATGTGTGTGTGTCTCTCTCTGCTTGTGTGTCTGTCTGTGTGTCTCCGTGTCTATGTTTTGTCTCTCTCTCAAATTGAGCAATCCTTGGAAGAACGTAATCAACCCGGTGGGGTGTTGACTGTTGTGTTGGCCGACTCTCTGTGCTGTATTACATTTTATTTCCAAGTTTACTAGGTTTGTTTTCTCATTCATTTGTACCTGATGATGGTTGCTTGTGTTGCAATAGAAACGTCGTATTCTATTATTATTTAATTTAATTTATCTCTACGTGACTTTACCGAAAGAACCAAAGAGTTATTCCTGCACTCACGAAAGCTTCGAATCTAGTTTGATATGTTTTGTTGAACATCGAGGTGAATTTAGCAGCCACTATGGGTTGGAGGTGGGGGGGGGGGGGGGGGTGGGGGGGTTCACCTGCAAAATATATAAACCACAACAAAAAAAGATTCAGACACACGCAAGTTGATGTATCATGAGGTTGAAAGACGCAATCAATCGATTAGTCGACGCCTCCTTACACCCCTAACGATTGCACTGGGCCCATAGCAGCCTCTGTTACGAAGCAGCCTCTGTTACGAAGCAGCCTCTGTTACGAAGCAGCCTCTGTTACGAAGCAGCCTCTGTTACGAGGCAGCCTCTGTTACGAAGCAGCCTCTGTTACGAAGCAGCCTCTGTTACAAAGCAGCCTCTGTTACGAAGCAGCCTCTGTTACGAAGCAGCCTCCTCTGTTACGAGGCGCATCAGCAAGCGTATCCCGCCATATCGAGCAGTGGTCCCAAAAGAGCGAGAGCAAAGGACCACCTCTGGAATTAATGCATTTGGGGCTCCACTCAGCCAGGTCAGGGCGGCGATCGCTCACGCTCTGCTCCAAACAGCTGCTGCCCACCCACGTTCGCCAGCGCAGTCATGCTACCCGGAATTCAGTGAAGAACAACGAATGGACGTTTGTTTTTTGTAGTGCGGTTGTAGAGTGACCTGGCCGAGGCCATTAATTCATAAAGCTTCTGGTTTGTTGCAAAAAAAAAATCACCCCCAAAAAACCAATGAATCCTTGGGTTTTGCGATCTGACAGAGCAATATCATTACAGTAAATAAATGAAGTGATGAAAAAATTATGGATTACGGTGTTTTATGTAACCGACCGCTGGGTTAATTAGACTAATTGATGACGATTGCTTGTGTTGCAATCGAAACGTTGTGATATTTTTATTATTTTTTCATATCTACGTGGCTTTACCAAAAGACCCAAAGAATATGAATTCCTGCAGTCACGAAAGCTTTAAGTCAAGAATTTATTGTATTTTATATGTCACTCATGCAAATTTCATCTTAAAATGCAGTCGTTTTTTTTTAATGCAGACAAGGAGAGAGGCAGCCTGAATTGGTGCCAACAATTACCCAAGCTCTGTGGTCCTATATTTCGATGTTTGGCCAATTCCATCAATGAGAATTGCACCGTTGCATTATATACACGTGGGAGAAAACTCACTTACCTTATGGAGATTAACACTTAATGAACTTGCTGTAACTGCCATTCACTGGCCAGTCATGCGATGCCAACCACAATGTCCAAGCGCAGTGAGCTTCACGAATTTTTGCGATCCACCAACCTTGGCTTACAGGCATGCATCGCCACGAGTGCCCGGCAATCATGGGCGGATGTCTGGATTCTAACTATGCCTGTTAAACGATAACCGCAAAAAAACGACTCAACTCTTTTCAGAACCGATTCCCGGTTTCCGAATATCACGATGCGGTAAACATTTCCGGCGAAAATGTTAGAGAGTAACGAATGCAACCGATTGCCATGCACGCACGAACGTAAAGATGGCAAGGTCACCGTGTGGTACGTATTGCCCTCGTTCTAAGTAAAAGAGGGTAACGTCGAAGCGCTGCAACTGCTGGCAGAAGAACCTCAACCTGCGGATGTTGGGTCTACTCTTCCACGGACGTCTGGGAAGGTGTGGGTATCCCCAGACTTTACCCCGCCATGCACGGCTTTGACAATCGAGTACCTGTGGTGTTACCTGTTTCTGTTTTCTTCGTCAATGTTTTTGCCGTCCACAGGACTCTTCATTGCATCGTTCATTAGCAGCTCTCTCGCATGGGTCACGAATGTGTTAACGAGACTTAGCCCACCCCTCTCCCCACAATCCCTCACTTTCACTTCTGCACCATGAGCGGGGGTGCATGCTGGTTGAACAGAGGCGGTGGGCGGCGGTGAGAGGTGGGGGGAAAAGGGGGGGGGGGATCTAATAAACTTTCCCCATCGTTTCAAGCGGCGCCCCGGTTCGCGATTGGAAACGGTCTCGAACTGAGAGTGGGGACAGCCACTCGGCGTGGAGGTGAGCGAGTGGCAGCTGCGGGGGTTGACGGGGCTGGGTTGGCTCCGGTTCACGGAGTCCTATTGCAGACAAGTGTGACAAACGACCCATTCTAGAGTTTCCCCAAGCGCGCGCACACGCACGCCGGGCAGGCAATCATTTCCCCCACCGTCACCGGCGTAGGGAACACGCGTGGCAACGAGGCGAAGTCATTTATTTATTCGATTCCGCGGGGCGGGCAATCTGATATGAATATGCCGCAGATATTTTTTTAATGCGCTCGGCCATGTGAGCAGTGGGGTATCTCTTGCCAGCGGTTGGCCCCGGTCCAAGCTTTCCGAAATGCCGTGTATTATTTAAGGAGGGTCCGGCCCAAGTGCAGCTCTGACAGGGGCGCTGCGCTCGCGATTGGAAGCTCGCCAGTTCATATGTCGGTCAGGGCTCGATTCATCCCACCGTTCCTAGGGAGTCGATAAAAAGGGGGGTGCCAGTATTGCGGGTCATCTTATGGAGATACTGGCCCTCACCATAGGACCATGAAATTTTCACAAACGCCTCAAGGCTGCCAAAGGAGACAAACACTATTTCATGTTCCACTGAAATCAACACGTGGATATTATATATATTTTTAACTTTGATTTAAAGCACATTCAGCAAATGCCAGATGTGGGTTGGGCACATTCTCTGAGGTGAAAGCTGAATGAATGGAGTTCTGTAAGGAAGGATGTTGGGAAAGAGGCCGAGGAAAAAAAATACAAAACTGCTTGAGGGCTTTGGGGGAAGGGTCCATCCACTGAAATGAAGACAACTCTAGATTGGACAGAGCGCAGGGAGTTGGAGCCAGACCTGACATTTCGCGGAGGACTAACGAAGGCATGTGCTGGCTGTATATCAACCGCCGATGCAAAGCTGAGGCTGGTCAACTCTTTTAAGATGTAAGCTTTGAGCGTGTGCCTTCAGTGTACCCGGAGGTAGGCTGCGTTCATTAATGTTGCCACGTGGATGATGTGTGTTGTACTAATACAGGTGAACAGAGCTGTGAATAAGCGGTCGTTTAAAATCAGATTTTGCCTATAGAGTCAGGGCACACAACAACATATGTACGTATCGCAGGCCAGACCGTGCTGATTGAGAGCCATCAAAGATGAAACTAATCCAAGGTTGTCCTGGGAGGGATGCAGGATCAATGGGTTAAAAGTTATTTAATTTCAGTCACAACCCCCATTGTTACTGATCATCAACTTTAAGTCAATAAAAATTTACTACTCTACCTGGCATCTGCCATATGATTGTGGAGATTCAACCTGAGGTCCAGTGCCACTAATCTACACATTGCTTAAGCATCGAGACTCTTAAAGGTTTACACTTTAACTGTGACTTAGATATACGGTATACTTATTTTAATTAATTGCAGTCTTTAAAGAGTAATCAGTTATGAAATTGACCTTAATTTTGTAGGTGCTTAAACATCCCTTGAATGGTGACAAATTGACAGGTAATTATCCAGGCATCATCTTTATTGAACGTCGTGGCAGAATAGATAAAGCAGATATTATGGAATTGTAATCAAATATTAATTAAAAGGCTATTTATGACAAATCGTTGCATTTAACAGTCTTAAAACAATGCCAATGGTCCTTGAAGCGTATAAATTTGTACACATTGCTCTAAAAGCATGATAGTGTTCAAAACGTTCACATTCTATTTAATTGGTTAATATTACACAGCTTTCATTGCTTAATTTTGTCAACTTACATTTTACGACGATAAATTATAAAACCAACATAAGATAAACGAACATTCCCACTTTATGATTAATCTAGAGCACCATTTTAATCTATCATCTTCATCTTTTAAGCAATTTGGTCAATCTAATCAATAAGCGAGACTTGTGCACCAGCGGCTAAAGGATATACGACTGATCTAAATATGTTGTAGAAAAAGAGTGTGGATCGAGCGCCGAGGCGAGGGAAGAAGGGGGAGTGTTGTGATTGGGAAAGGCCGTGAGTCAGATTCAGATGGAGGCTTGAGCCAGTATGTGAACAGGGAGAGGGAGCAGTGGCAATGAGGAGTACTAGAAAAGCATTCGAGAGGAGAAGGAGTGGCCTCCCTTTGAGTGGCGCTTTACTATGGATCTGACAAAGAGAGGTCTCTGCTCTTCGTATGAGAGTTGTTAAAATAAGTGTCCCTTGCATTGCCAGTAACGGAAATCAAAACAAACTGTAACAAACCAGTTACCGGTTTTCTGCAAATATATATCTACAGCAATAAACAAACAACGTACCCGATCAGCGCACTTGACTTGCCATGCAAAGGCGGCCGGTTGGATTCCATCTCCCGTTGTGGCAGTTGAAACAATGGAACAGGTTTCTTAAATCCCCCCCCTGCCCCCCCCCCCCCACCACCTCAGTCCAACAAGCAGTATAAATGGGTAGATAGGGGGGGGGGGGTATTTGGCCTACTCTTCCACACGTGGCCAGACATCTTTAAAGAGGTGAGAACACCCATATGTTCTCGCACCTTTTATGTCGCTGGTTGGTCAGATCCTTTAATAATCTTGCCCCACCGTTATTCCAACTGCTGTGCCAAGACGTAGAACCGGTGACAACGGAAGCTTCTCCCTCCAACGTTGACTTTGTGGCCAAATGGTCGGAAGAAGAAGCTTGCGAATGACGTAAGACGGCTCCCTGGCCAGCAACGTTTCGGGTGAAGCGCGCGATGAAATTTAATTTCCATGCGCGAATTACCGGGCGGCAATTTGGCTCGCGAGAAGCGTAGAGACCACTCGGACGCCGGAACGCAGTGTCCGCCGAGGGCGTGCCGTTCTCACCGCAGCAATGGGAGCGAATTGAGGCCGCGATGCTCTGCAGAGCTGTTGGACAAACTTGCACGGCACGTCCGCTGCCCTTTAACGAAGTAAAAAAAAAATGTTTTAATTGCCACCGCGCTTCAATCAATTTTGCCGCATGAAAAAAAAGAAAATGAAAGTGCGCCGAGATGAAAAGAAAAAGACGTACGTTTCAAAGGGCCCAAGGGAGTAATATCGCTGAGGAATTAGTGCCATCAAGGGAAGAGGAAAGGGCACTTGACATAACTTGAAAGAACAAACCGTTGTGTGCAGACATGAATACTGTACACACGGATGAAACGCACGTCTAAATTTAATGACACACGATCACTATTTTGCTAACAATAATAAAAAAAAATCTCCACTCGGGAGTCAGATATCCGTGCATTAGTCGGATGTAATTTATTTGTGGCTTCGCTGAGCAGGAAAACAGATTAAATAACATCCATCTCTCGCGTTTACCCGACGCTTTAAAATACATTATATTTATGAAGTAAAATCATCAAAAAAGACTTATAAAAGAATGATATTTACCCCTTAGGACCTTTTAAATAATATATAATTTGACTAACTAAATTCTTCAGTGCATGGAACTTAAACAAGTTTGTTTGAAATTATGTGTAAAATGTGACAAAATTGAGTGTGAAAGGGAGAATAAATAACGTGTTGGGATCTAAGAAATCCAGCAATTTGAATTGCAGTGTATAATATTACATGTGCAATCATGAATGAAACCATTACTATCAGTGAAACCCCCATAATACACGCATCAACTCATGCTTATACGAATCCATTATTCGCAGTCGTGAGATGGATTGCGTCACGGCAGGACCGTGACGTCGCACGGAGGCCTTCACCTGGCAGTGGATATGTCATGCCTCATGTCAGTGGTGGTCTGTATGTTTATCGTAATGAAACTGACTACAATAATATTCATTATTGGGGCTGGGGAGGGGTAATTATTCGCCCCCCCCCCTCCCCGCAATGCAATCAACTGTAACAATTCGGGGTCATGATTCGATTAAGAAAATCGATTATTTTTTGACACGGTGTTGAATGCAGCACCCTATGGTGGCTGGAAGGACAATTTTAACATTTCATATGGCATATACAAATGTAATAACATTAATTCCTACACCGACGATTCAATGCATGTATCACGAGCTTAGGGATCAACATTGATCGATGAATCGCTACAGCGTCACAGCCCTTACGTATGTACATTGAACTTATTTCGCACCGTACGTAGCCAACTATGCCAATCGGAGGTGCCGTAAACAGATGGGGATCAGTCCACACACACGGACAGAGGGGAGTGTTGAGTGATATTGCTCTGAACAGCTGTGACGGCAGTGGTTGGCACTCACTTGCGCCCGCGGGTCGGGAGGTACTCGCCACCGTATTTCCTCCGGTTGAGGATGAGAGCGGCGATCTCTGGCACGTAGCGAGCGAACATGGCCTGGGAAGGCGGCACACAAACACGACAAACCCGTGTGAGCCGGCGTGTTCGCGCGCTCGGAACCGTTTACTCAAGGGCCCTTATTCTGAACAAACGGCCACTTTTGTTTGGAACTATGGATGTGATGGAGCTGATTTAAACAGACACGGACTTAAGTCAGAACTTTAGATTGAAACGCAAGTGGAAAACAACAGCAGGGAACGCGACGTTGCTGAACGGCAGTGTGTGTCGGAGCGATGCTCACAACAATGAACACAGCGGGTTGACCACAGTAGGGGACACAGATGGGGCATCGGCCTGTCATCTCAGTCAGTCAACCCATGGCACCTGGGTCTGTCCCGTGACCTCCTGCCAGCGGGCGTTCGACACTTCACGTGGCCTTAAAGTGCACCTAGCCTGGCACAGGTGCCGTGGTGAAGTCACCGCCAGTTAATGGCAAAACGGCGGTTGTTGTGTTACCGCTTGTTGCAGAGGACTGCGGTTCTAGCCCAGCATCTGCCCCCATGAATAATGCGGGCCTGTTGACCATCTGCTACACGGTGGATGTGCAAAAAAAATTCCAGCAAATTATACAGAAAAAGAGGACGTGTGTGTGCTGGCCACATTTTTGCCAAATTGTTTGTAAATTACTTAATTGGGTAAATTCGCAGCAACACTCCCAGATTGTACTCTTAATGGTAAATTGGGTGTGAGCAGTGGTGACGTTAAAGAGACACGAGTTTGTTGTGGCTTCCCCTTGGCGGTTGGGCTGCCTGTCTGTGCCAGTAATACAGTATAGTGCTGTACATCCAGTCGGACGATCACAGATTGCATTGTTTGCTGTGAAACATCAACGAGGTAGTCACCGCATGGCAGCACAACAACATCTGTGCCGATTTGTACGCGTCGCCCCCTCCTGCACTGTGTGGGTTTCCTCCAGGTATTCTGGTTTCCTCCCACACACGACATAGTCACTAAAATGCTCATTTAAAAATAAATTAGCATTGATCCCATTCTCGAATGATCCTAAGTTTCGGGAGTCAGTGAAGCATTGCTGGAAAAATAAATGAAACAATTATCATCGCATTTCATTCAGTATTAACAATATCCTGCAAGGTGGTGCTGTTGGTATACTGCTCGAATCACGCTCGCAAGGTTGTGAGATCAAATCCTATTTTGGGTTCAACTCAGGCGATAATCCCTCCACGGTTGATAAAGTGAATACCACAAGGCAAGTCAGGAATGGTCATGCTCTGTAGAGATTGGCAGCCATCGCAAACAGAGATGAGTAATTCCACACATTAGCTTGGAAGGGAAACACTTTTACGCTTGAGTTTGAGTGCGGACAGGATCCATTCTGGATCAAATTTTATCCGTTCACATCAGCTCTAATCCAAGCGACGCTCTATTGCAAATGCAACTTAGCAGAGAGTATAACATATTGCACGCACACACGCAGGTCTTTCTAGTTTTAAGCATTTGGTGTGCGTCTCATTGCACGCACGGTCACAATTAGGGTCGTAATGGCTTTCACGAGTGTGCAAAACAGTAGAACCGCCGCTATCGTCCATCACCATAATCACACAGAACACACACACACACACAACACTCTCTTTCCCCTCCATGTCCCACCCTGCTGCATATCAACGAATCAATCTCTTGCCATCTGCCAGCCACAATACTCCTCTCCAGGGCAGGAGGTCTGCAAAGCCCTACAAACACATGCACGCGTATTCCATACACGCAAAGTGACGGATGAATAAACATCAACATGACCGAATGGAAAATAATGAGTGGTAAAATATAGTTGGCTGAAAGGCATCGTGAAAAGCCCTCAATAATCTACGCGGCGTGTATGCGCACAGCAGCCTGATTCAGTTTTACATCTTAGCTTGTCCTAGTCAAATGTTACAAACACAAAACTGGGGTCAAAGCAGAGAAAAAAGGCCCCTGGGCCATCGAGCCTGGAGCAGGAGCCATGAACCAAAGCCAAACAGCAAAACTCAGTGTTGCCACCGTCGTAATTTTACCTCCAGATCCAGTGCCTTTTTGTGTTTCCCAAGTGACCAATTGTTGTCAGGGCGTATGCATTAAGGATCATGCGGCGGTTTACGATACTGTGTTTAACCCACGGTAAATTGTAACCGTGACAATTTTAACGACTTTAGAAGGTATTCATATTCTGAGCTCTTTCGGTAAAGTCACGTTGAAGGGAAACAATAAAATAATTATATATATAAAACAATAAAAATTCTCACGACGTTTCCACCATAACACAAACGGTCATCATCAGGTGTGAAAAGCAACGGCAAGAAACATTTGAAAGAAGTGGCAGTTTGCATTTATTTATTTTAAAACGATGCTTTTATTTATTTATTTAGAAAGGGTCTATCAAGTGATTTTTTTGGGGATTGGTTTCGAAAATCTTCACTTTTACATTTTGGCAACACACGCGAAACTGGGGGGCAGGCAGCGAGGGGGGGGGGGGGGCTAAAACTTAGACCGCTTAAACTGAGCAGCAAGTCCAAGGCCCGTGCCAGCAAAGTGTATGGGTGACGCACCAACGTGCAGAGACGATAGAATCACGAGACCCAGCGCCAACCAGGGGCCTTGTGTCAATGAGATTCACAGCCAGAGAGACGGAGAGGGCCGATGAGATCAGAAGCTGACGAGGTCAACACAGGCTCTGCGCCGGCAAAATCCCATGGGTGAGTGCTGACAAGGTCTGGGGACAAAATTCCAGAAGTTTGTGGAGGTGAAAAAAATCTAGAACAAGGTATTGTGGGAGGAGGCGAGGCTAGGGGTCAGGAGGCAGCACGAAAACCAGGCCAGCAATGGAGGGGAAACTAAAATATAAAAAACCTAAAGGCGGGGTAAATAATAAACCTAAATAAAACAATACAGGGGAAGAGGGATGGACTAGGGTAAGTTTATGGAGGAATTTTATTGCTCAACCTGCGCACACAGATGTGGGGTCACAGGTCGCGGCAATTTGGCACAGGCAGATGTTGGCCGTATTCCCATGATGCTGTATGTTGTTGTGACCGTCACATATTCAATTATTAATAGTGATCATAAATACTTCGCTTATTCGACCGCTTGGTAGCCTCACAGAGAGAGCTCTCCTCTGAACCAATCTATGTGACATTTGATTGCTGAAGCTCGGTGGTAAATTCTACAGGAATCTCTGAATGCACTACATATGCTATGAACTGTATATTATAAACCCTGTATCATCATCATCATCATCATCTTTAAGAGTGGACTCTTACGAATAGTGCCATAGCTAAAATAATCATTTAACAAATTCCATGAATACAACATTGGCCGCGAACCGCTGTGCTCTCCAGCAGGGTGGCATGATAGAGCGGTGCGGCTCACCGTCAAATCTTGCAAGTTCAACTCCCATACAGTAGGCTCACATGACATTGACTTCTCCAAGACAGAGGTTCTTTGTAAGCCATCTGGCTACCATGAGAGATTCGTTCATGAGGCTATCCACATATACAAACACAGAGACAATTTCCACCTAGAAGATGGATTCTGGCTTAGCAATCATTGGAAGTATTTGATAAACCATTTCGGGTCTTAATTGATTGATCACGCTTAAGGTGGCTTTCAGACCGCATCCATTATTTTTCGTCTCCCCCCTCCTCTTTTCAGAACATAGATGGACTCGTCCTTCTAAATAAACTGCCAAATCGCTGCCCGTGGCGCTGATGGTTTTTTCTAAAAATAAATAAATAATGCGCCGTTTGAAAATAAATTAATAGATGTGGACCGCCACTTCTTTCAAATGTTTCTTGCCGTTGGTTTTTCACACCTGATGATGACCGTTTGTGTTATGGTCGAAACGTCGTGAGAATTTTTATTGTTTTATATATATTTTATTATTTTATTGTTTTCCTTCAACGTGACTTTACCGAAAGAGCTAAGAATATCCCATACAGAAGTTGGCTCGGCCCTATACCCCTCGAGTCGACAGCGGTTGCCCTCTCTAGACTAACTCACTCCTGCCGTGGGAATATGGAGCTGCCATTACTTTCTCGGAGCTGCACAGGAAATATGCGGCCCCTTGCCAGGGCCATCTCTGCTTAACTGCTACTCTCACCACCTGCAAGGGAAGTTTCAACGGATCTCGATGTACTCTCACTTGGTCAAACAAGGGACGACCATCGTTTCATTTGGAAACAATCCCCACTTTAAATCGCACAGTGATCACTGTCACTTAAACCGATAAATCGTACCTCCCAAATCATCGAACGTATCACGGTAAAAACACTCAGGGGTATAAATGTACGGCCGAGTTATCCCCAACAGATCCTAACGCGTGGAAGCAGAGATTGTAATAAAACACCGTGCAACCACTGAAGCTGCTGTAATTGCCCTAGCAAATGTTCCACTGTCAAAATGGGAAATATCTCCCTGCAGGGTATGCCGAGTGCCAACCCGGGGAGACAAATGTGACTCGAGGCTCTTTCACCATTTATATATTCATCACTCCTTGTTAATGGTGGTATAGATAAACATATGCATGCATACGCAGTTTTGAACATGTCAAGATTCTATTTATGTGTGTGTATTTAGGAACCGATCACAGTATTTGCAAAACTCGTATTTTTCAAACTCCTCTGGGGTAGCATTTTTTTTTCCAAAAGAGTTTCGTAAAATTGCAAAAGAATATTCAGAGGCAAGAGTACAGCACACAATACATCTACCAAAGTGAAAAAACACGCATACACATAACCACTGCAGGTTTAAACACGCACTCTGCCTGGGGGTACAGTGCTCAGAGCACTTATCTCACACTCAGAGGGAAGAGTTCAACTCCTGGCTGGGTGGTCCATTCAACCACTGCCATATTTCACCAACGAGGACCAAGAGCCTAATCAACTCTTTGTGGGGAATCAACGGTGGGCCGTCTTTTGGAAAGTCTGTTCTCTGTTATTGGAATGCGGAACTTCCACTATTGCCTTAAGATCACCGATGGAAATTCATTCGAGCCATACCAATAGAAATTA